TTCAATTAAACTGCTGGGGCCTGGGTAGTGGCCAGTGGGTATCACTCATCAGCGATATAGAAGACCTATGGCGAAATGCTAAAATGAATAAATGAATGAATTGAGTGTATGAATGAATTGAGAGTATGAATGAATGAATGAATGAATGAATGAATGAATGAGTGAATGAATGACTGCATTAATGGCATGACATGAAGCTGCCCGTTCCCATTTTTCCAGGAAGCGAGAAACTATCAGCTTCCAGGGAGCTAACTTCCATCACATTGCAAGGTCGTGATCATTGACCATGGCCCGATCTTCGATGCCTATTGCGAAATCCAGGTCAAGACACCTTGATGCCGGGAACGTCCTCTCTCCGTTCTTAGCTCTTAAACTTCCCTCCGACCTGGTTTGAACGTCTAGGAATCATCTGGGTGGGGCGGAAAATTGCGTAATTATAGGGCGGCGTTTCATATGATCGACCCTTTCTATACTCGTATGTCTGTCGAGATCGACTTCCGAGGCATACCTACACTACAGCAAAAGCCGTTCATTTCTCAGCGATCATCTCATGCATGCCCTGCCACGTGGCTCGGAACGGCGCCAATGCAGCGCTGGACGGCGCGGTATATAGTAACATATACAGGGTGTCCCATAATTACCCGGACATTGTTAATTAGCGAATAAAATAAGGCAAACATGATTGCGCTTTTTTCTTTTTACCGTCCTATATAGTCAACTAGGGTGGCTGTGAAATAGCACATGCAATAGATACGCTTGTTACAAGATCAGCCGACAATGATGGAAAATGCCAGCCATTGCTGGTTTCAGTTGTTTTACGGGTCTCCCGAAACTGGTTGTAGGCCTGTTTTCTTTGACCTCTTGCCGGAGGATAATACGATCATATAAGATAAACTTGACATCAAAGTGTTCACAGGCCATAAGGTATTATCCCCCAAAACGAAAATTTCTGCCTACGCCACTTTTGCTGCGTTTTTTACATCTGGAGTGGAGAAGCTCCATGTCTGAACATTGCGCAACCTTTGGCTTCCAACAGATTTGATTTCCAAAACAAACCCGTTCATGGCCATTTGGTTCACGGCATCCAGTTTTCGCACTGGTAGAATATTACCGCAGTAGTACTCTGTGCTAACGGTTGTCTTTGGGCCATCATATCAAGCCCAATGAGTGCACGGTGGCTCAAAATGTCTCACAATTTGATTTTCGACGGGTGCCTGGCCGTCTGTGCTGTTGGGGCGTTGTAGCCATCTGACGTTTACACACGCCTTTTTCGGGCGGTTCAAATGACATAATACCTTCGTTAGACCACAAAGTGTGCTTCAATATACTTTTTTGTTGTATATGTTATGTTTTTGGGATGAATCAGAATTGTAGTGATTTGCGCTGCTTTTCCCGTAGTTTTCGCATATTTTTCTGGCGAAGGACCCCAAATTCCAAAATTTTGTCGAAAATAGTGGTGCAAAGTAGACTAATGTTTTGTAGATAATCCTGATCTATTGTTTAGCTAGTTTTTAGCTAGATCGGTGACGTTTGTTGTCTATGACAAGCAACCACTTGTTTGACAACTGGTGCATGGCCCTTTTTGGCCGAGCCCAAGCTTGTCAATCAGGTTTATCTCTTGCTCTCTCTGGCTTCGTTAGCTGATATAATTGCGCTTTGCTCAATCCTAACTGCTTGCAGATGAGCTGCTGAAGCTCTCCAGCAAAAACCATGCCGAAAGTCCGTTTACAAAGTTGAGAACGGGAGTTGATTCACCATGGTTGCCTATTAGTGGCTTAAAGGGACCCTCCCACCTTCAAAAAAGTTTATGAATTGGCATGAAAGTGATGTCGCTCGGTTCAGAAAGAGCGAAAACGAATATCTACCAAATTTCACCGAAAAATATTCACCGGTTTTCAAGATATTAGACTTTTACTTTTGTTTACTTTTTTGGGATCTCCGCTGTTTCTAGCGACTTTATTTTAGAAGTGCGGCGTTTGCGGCAGATGTTGCGCGCAAATAGCATATACCACCGCGTGCTACAAAACGTTTTAGTCAAACATTTAAAAATCGTTAGATATTTGCGCTGACGTCACACATTCAGAGGGGTATTCCTAAGCATTAGCCCCTCTGAATCAAAATGCTGCAATTTTGAAATTCAATATTTCCGATTTAAGGCATTTCTCGATGTTGTGAGTGCCGAAACCGGTAATTGTGAGCCAGGGACCCCATTTTGGCTATCTCAACTCAAATCTAATGTTAAGGTGGGAGGGTCCCTTTAAGCTGAAAACGGAAAAGGACTACTCTTACTTGACTCTGGATAATAATTGATTCGAGTCGTTACCGGCCACCAAAAGCACACAGTCCCCAATCTCGATAGCTAAGGGATATCTTATAAAAGTATGATGCTTGTGTATCATTAGAAGCGAGCGCAGTCGTACTTTTAGCCAGAAAATAAATGTCCGGGTAATTCTGGGACACCCTGTACATATACTGCCTTGGACGCCCTGCTTGGACGGCGCCAAGGGGGCGTGGTTTCGTCTCTTGCGGTCTCGGCAGAGGTCGCACCGTGCCGCACGGGCTGTGACGTCAGCCGCCCCGGGGACGGGGGGGGGGGCGGGGCAGTCGGTGTCCGGTGACCGGTCGAGGCCGGATCTGCCGGCTGGCTGCCCCCCGGCAGTTCAAGTTCGCGAGCCGGCGCCCGGCTTCGAGCACGACTGGGCGATCCGGCTGGTACAGTCTGTCTTAAAAGTACCGCGCAAAGTGACGGTGGATCCATCAAGCCTGACCGAGGAAGGGCCTGCTATAATTTCAAAGTCACCGAACCAACTGACCTGGGGAATGGACGAGGATGTCAATTGCTTCAGTGACTCAAATTTAGCAGGCCCTTCCTCGGTTAGGCTTGATGGATCCACCGTCACTTTGCGCGGTACTTTTAAGACAGACTATACAGTCTGTCAGATACTGTCTATACAGTTAAGACAGACTATACAGTCTGTCTTAAAAGTACCGCACAAAGTGACGGTGGATCCATCGAGCCTGACTGAGGAAGGGCCTGCTAAATTTGGGTCACCGAAGCAATTGACATCCTCGTCCATTCCCTAGGTCAATTGGTCGGTGACTTTCAAATTAAAGCAGGCCCTTTCTCCGTCAGGCTTGGTGGATCCACCGTCACTTTGCGCGGTACTTTTAAGACAGACTGTATAGTCGACTACAGAATGATGTTCCACTCCTCAGAAGCTATCAGTTGACCGGAGCGCTAAGTTGTGCCGTTTATCACGCAATTAAGCGTGTCGATTGTGAGCATTGGAACAAAACTATAATTTGTGAACTCAGCCCGTGTGATGCGACAAAGCCTACCACTCCAGGCAAATAATTGCTTGGTGAAAAGTGGAACATCATTCTGTAGTCGACTATACATTCTGTGTGTGTGAGCACTGTATGTAGGTACTGCGTTCGCGTTTTCCGATGGAAATATATTTCACAATGAACTAATCGTTGTTTTCAGATAAGCCCTGTAACCTTTGGAGTTTACAGCTTAGCGCTCCGATGCTCTATTACACTGGGAATCAGTTTCTTTGGAACATTATTTTGCACAGCGATGCCCGTCGGTATGTTGCAGCACCTGTTCATTTTGGGTTAACATGTACACATGTGCCAAAATATTGAATTAACTAGTTGCCAGCTTACATTCCAGTCAGGACTAGTTCAAAAATGCCTCATGATTGTTGTTCATCAACGAAATATGTAAACCATTATTTCAATTTGCAATGAGAGCAGCTCAAGCTGGCAGAAAACGTTTGGATTGGAAACCCAAACTGAAACCAGTCGATTTTCAACTAGCCCACCGAACAGCCAGGCCAATCACCGGAACATGACACTTGACAGTGACACAAGCACACACGCAATGCCTATGACCTATAAACAATAACACAAGACAATCATTGCACAGTAACACGTCCTAACTCCTCTATCTTCCCATTGCACTCGAATTCCAATTTTGATTTCACTGTTTACTCCAGTGCTGCCAGATGGGGAAGGCTGTAATCCTCCAGATCAGTTACAAAAATCCTCCAGATTCCTCCAAATCCTATTGGTAGATATAGAAAGGCGGTCTTGGACGCTGCGAGGGGCTATACCCCCCAAAAAAGTTTCCCCAAATTCTCAAAACTCATCGGATTTCGAATCCTTTCGCACTGCTGTGCAGTTTAAAGGATACTTTTTCTAATAAAAGTTGTTAAGTTTTCGTTTTATCCTAAAAAAAACGAAAATTTTCGTCGATATCGGGTGCTGCAGGGCGGGCCGGGGGCATTTGCCCCAAATGTCCCCCTTAGATCCGCCAGTAGTTTGGTACCCTCGTAGATATAGCTACAGACTGAGACATTCTGCAGTCTCACGGTGATAAAGGACGTGATATATCCTAACGGGTAGGGTGACGCTGGGCAGGAAAATGCCTTTCTAGTCTCGAATGTGTTATATTTTTCCATAATATTGAATATAATAATCGGGCGACAAATCCTCCAGATTTTCCTCCAGAATCAAAAATCCTCCAAAAGCGAAATTTGTCCGCAAATAGAGTTCAAAATCCTCCAGATTTGCGGAAATCCTCCAAATCTGGCAGCACTGGTTTACTCCACTCCCTCCACTCGCCGCATAATCATTGTAACAAAAGCGCAATTATTGTCTCTTTAAACTGAAATATTTCCTAAATCAGCTGATTTTGGCCAAAGTTGAAAGAAAAACTGCTATTTTGTATTTATAATTTTGCTTATTTTTTGTGATAAAAAAAATAACAAAAAACATAATTGAAATTCAAAGATCGTCTTTTATGATTAAAAATGATAATACTAAGATAAAAATGACCATAAATTGTATTTTTAAAACATCCAAAGAAACAAGTAATTAATTTTCATATAATCAGCTGAGTGCGATATAAAGAGTTTCTCGAATGTGTCAAAAAATGCGAGCGGTAACCACGGTGCATCATAATCGAATTTTAGAATTGCGTGATTTTCAGATCGGTTTGGTGCTAATATTTTCCGTGGGAGATTACTAGTGTTTTTATTGAATTTGATTGTTGATTAACAGGTCAGCAGACACTTAGATTCTGTATTTTCTTTTTGGCCCGGCTGATTCTTCGTTCTCATTCTGCCTCTTTTGTGTGGTGCATCAGGATTCAAAACAGTTGCATGTCTTCGATGCTGGGGATTTGGTCCGGTGTCTTGACCCAAACAAAATCCCACGAACTCAACTTGGCGCAGTAGTGCTGATCGATCCTTGAAATTGGCGGTCTGGAATGTCCCTCTCCGAGCGCAACAGGGAATTTTCACGATGACGGGGAATATTCCGCGCTCTCCGAACGCACCCCTACTATTTTAACAATTTATTGAATGCACACTTGTGTGGTTCATTAAACACTATTATTCGTAGACGGAATAAATTGCCACCCTTCACATTTTTGGGCAGGTCACAATTGTAGGGAGGTTTGGGCATTGAGATTTCATAATAATGTCTATGTAGGCTGCTGGCTGAGTTGCACTCAAAACCAGGAAACTAGGGTAGGTAGGTACCTAATCCTAATTGACTTAATCACATCAGAGACTAGGTATGACATTAAAACAAAGATTATGTGGCATAAATAATCCCAGGTTCCTGAAATACAGGAACTTTGGTGGTAAGAAGACATTTCATTGGCCATTTACAAGTCATTGCTTGATTCATTAGTTGTAAACTCATAGCTGTCAGCTGAGCAATGTTTTAGGTATATTTGTAGATGAAGTATGGTTGGTAAGTTGGTAGGTTGTAGGCTGGTAGGTTGTACATTTTAGGTTCTAGGTTCTAGGTTGAGTTGGTAGGTTGTAGGTCTGTGGTTGGTAGGTTGTAGGTTTTTAGGTTGTGGGCTGGTTGTAGTTCAGCAGAAGGTTGTAGTTGAGGTTAATTCAGGTTAGATTATGTTTTATATCTTCAAAAAACTTCTTTGACACATTTACCTCCTTTTTGTGATAATGACTTATTCACCTAAAATTAGGATCAAAATTGTGTTACACCCTATAGTGCACAGAAGTGATTCCAGTTGTTCAAGGAGAAAAAACACAGTACTTGTAAAATGGTTGTTTCCTAAATATGGTAATGCTATGACATGCCTGGATTCAGACTTGGACTTCAGGGTTACTTCATGCTTAAAGCATCACATTTCAAACATACAAAACATTCTTGTTTTGGTACCTATGACACTATCAAGTCTATCCTCTTCAATGTCACTGACTGTTGCATCTCAACATAAGACATCCATCAAGCTAACTCTAAATGCTGCATTCAAGGTAACATTCTGACTTGGACTTGAGGAGAGATGTCTCATACTGAGGTGTCTCAGGTTGGTGACATGGAGAAGGATGGAGTTGATATGTCTTAGGAATGGAAATGGTAGTGTTTTGTAGATGGATGTGTTAGAAATGTGCAATAATATTCTATAGAAGGACAAACTGCCACAAGGTCATGAACACTATTTAAGACTTGCAGGTCATGCAGCACAAATAAAAATAAATGTGTAACAGAGGCCAGATGGTGGATGGATACACCCAGAGATCCACAAAATTGATGCTGCCCAAATCAAGTGCTAGTTATGATATTCAATTGACTGAATGTTTGCTTGTTTGACAGGTGCTCCATCTCTCTCAGGCAGTTCAGGGGAAAATCAGCCCAGAATGAGCTGGTTCTAGTCTGCTTCTCTTTCCCTGCCTGGGATGCCTGATGATGGGAATCAGTGTTAGAAGAATCTGTTTTATCAGCTGGTTGTTATCAGCATCTGTGTGCTGTGACTGCGAGCAGGCAGTCATCGAGGCTACCTGAAGGCGCGGAGCTGCCCCCTGGTTTGTGTGTAGGGCAGGCTGTCACCAATGGAGTCTGTCTGTGAAGTGTGCTCAGCTGTACGTAGCCTCACCGATTCATGTGAGTTGAACAGGGAGAAGGAACATTTGGGACATGATCAGATGTGCCAAAGAATATGCACCATCAGTTCTAACTTTGCTCATTACTGTGTGGTTTTAACAATGTATTGCTGCAATCACAGCTTGTGCACTCTTCATTTCCAATCGCAGATGGATTTATTTTCACATGACATCATTTAGGAATGTGCGATGTAGTAAAGGTTGATATCAAACTGGCATTTGCAGCTCCAAGCTGAAGTTCACTAATGTCCAGATAATAACGCAAGACTGGTGGTGTTTATGTTTTTATCACCTCATGCTGTTTTTTTATGCTAGACAATAACATAATGTATTGCCTGTTGCAGACAATGAAAAGCTTTCATCTCAGAACTTCCCGGCCACCAAGCCGACCATATCAAGTGCAGAGGTGGCCACGATTGGCAACTTCATCAGCAACCTAAACCACAGGTTTGTAACAATCAGGTCCATAAGTTTTATCTTTGTTGGTTTGTTTATTTGTCACTTTATATTCCAACAGCGTATGGTAGATTTGTTTATTTGCTCATTAGTCAACTAGCATTTCGACCAGCTCATTACGAATATCTGCATTTATCATTGCAGAGCATGCAACTGCTGTTTCCAAGAGCTGAAGCAGTACGGGCGGCTGAACAATGTGGTGCAGGGCCTGCTGCAGACCTACATCGAGCAGGTGAAGCTGATGCCGGGCCGGCGCTGGACGGACCCGCCGCCGGCCGAGCCGGCCCCAGTCGAGGCCGCCGAGCCCCCGGCCGGCGGCGGCGAGGCAGGGGGTGACGGCGGGGGTAGCGCCGGCGGCGCCGAGGACCTGTGGCAGCTGGAACAGGTGGAGCGCATGCTGCACCTGGTGGTCAAGGTGTTTCAGCCGCAGTTCCCGCCCTACCTGGCCTACAAGCACGTGCTGCCGCGGCCCGAGTCGGCCGGCGGCGGCGGCTCCGGCTCGGGCGAGCAGCCGGTGCCCTACAGCGCCTACTGCGACGTGCACGACCCCGAGGTGTCCGAGTTCATCCTGCGCAACGTGTGCTACTTCTGCGAGTCGGGCGCCGTGCAGGCGGTGACGGCCGCGTTCGCCGGCCAGAGCCCGGCCACGCTGCCGCTGGTGCTGGCGCACGCGCTGCTGGCCAGCGTCTCCAACCTGAAGGTGTGGCTCAACTACCGCACCATCGTGCAGCTGCTGGTGCCGCTGCGCGCCGCCATACTCAAGTACATGTGCAAGTTCAGCGACGGCGACCTGCGCTCGGCGGCCTCGCGCTCCATGTCCGACTTCATGTGGAGCTCCATCAAGGACCCGCTGGACGCGCCGCTCTCCTTCGACAAGGACGGACTCGACCTGGCCTTCAAGTTCTTCACCAGCAGCACGCTGACCATGCGGCTGGCAGGCATCTCGCAGATCAACAACCACATCAACATCTTCAACGAGCTCTGCAACGGCGAGAGCATCGTGGAGGCGGAGAACGTGGGCCTGCAGCTAGCCAACTGGCTCATCCAGAACCAGATGGTCGAGCAGCTGTTCGGGCCCAACCTGCATGTCGAGGTGAGTCCACGCTGCCTGCGGGCCTTATCTTGTACGCTGGATAGTGGATGGTGGGCGGAGACTGGAGATTATTACCTTTTTTCTTTTCTAAAACATGCTTAAAGTGCGAATGGACGCAAAAAGCCATTCAGTTGTCGCGCACGTAAGTCTCATTATGCTAGGAAGATAATCGGGAACTCGAGTGCACATTTACCGTCGCAATGTGGCTGATGTTAACGACGTATTACGTTTTGTGTGAATTTCTGTGTGATATTGTGCAGCTCAGACGGATGCCACTTTGACCGTGGGATGCCCGCTGCCCTGTACAGATCGTGAAGCAGTCGCACGTGGTGCTGAGTTTTCTGGCTGTGGAGGGACGCCTTACGAACGGTCACATCGAGCTGATCCTGCAGTCTGCCCAGCTCAAACACTGCAGCAAACAGGTGAGATTGAGCTCAAACACTGCAGCAAACTGGTGAGATTGAGCTCAAACACCGGTCACATCGAGCTGATCCTGCAGTCGGCGCAGCTCAAACACTGCAGCAAACAGGTGAGATTGAGCTCAAACACTGCAGCAAACTGGTGAGATTGAGCTCAAACACCGGTCACATCGAGCTGATCCTGCAGTCGGCGCAGCTCAAACACTGCAGCAAACAGGTGAGATTGAGCTCAAACACCGGTCACATCGAGCTGATCCTGCAGTCGGCGCAGCTCAAACACTGCAGCAAACAGGTGAGATCGAGCTCAAGCACCGGTCACATCGAGCTGATCCTGCAGTCTGCGCAGCTCAAACACTGCAGCAAACAGGTGAGATCGAGCTCAAACACTGCAGCAAACTGGTGAGATTGAGCTCAAACACCGGTCACATCGAGCTGATCCTGCAGTCTGCCCAGCTCAAACACTGCAGCAAACAGGTGAGATCGAGCTCAAACACCGGTCACATCGAGCTGATCCTGCAGTCTGCCCAGTTCAAACACTGCAGCAAACAGGTGAGATAGAGCTCAAACACGGTAACAAACTGGTGAGGTCGAGCTGATCCTGCAGTCTGCCCAGCTCAAACACTGCAGCTAACTGGTGAGTCTGAGCTCGAACACTGCAGCAAACAGGTGAGATCGAGCAGGTCGACCTGTCAGTCCAGACATTGCAGCAAACGGGCGAGCAGTTGCGGCAACATTTTGCGATTTTTCGTTCAGGAACACAGTTTGCGAAACGCATATCAGCTGTTTGAAACCCACCCAAAGTTCACGAAAAGGACAGTGCACTTCATAGTTTTTTTGTTACCTTCGTTTTGTTTCTGATCAATTTTCCGAATCGAAATTCCCAGGTGATGCCTTGAGTCACAACAGACACAGTCATACGACTGGACACCTCTGACAGGACACATTGCCGTACTGACCCCGTAACGTTAATTCCAGGTGTACGACATTTTGGCGCCGCTGATCAAGAACCTGGAGGCGGAGCCGGTGCTGCACCTGTACTCGCTGCTGCAGAAAATGGAGCCCCGGGACCACACCGAACAGGTGGGCTGTGACGATGGTGCGGGGAGTGGTGTGAGGCTGCTAATTTATTGAAACTGTCGGTTTCGGTCTAATTGTGGGCTGTGGTTGGTTTCTGTATTTTATCCATTTTGTTAGCAGCTTCAGGTGTCAAAATATGTCGTGGACATGGGGCAGTGGACACGCTACGGCCAGACAGCGACGCTAGCCAGGGGCGCTGTACTTAAGTGAATGTTTGATACAGCTTTATGTTTATCCCCAAACTGAAACAGATTGCATCCTATATAATGCTGATCACGCTATTCGGCTGTTCATGAATTATTTTTTTTACTTTTTCATGGCAGAGTCTGTACCTGACGTCTGTGCTGATCAAGTTCATCTGGAGTAACGGCGGCACGTACAGTAGCGTCTTGGACAACGTCATCAAGTCTCTGGCGGGCGGCGACGTGAGCAGCAGCGAGAACAGCATCAGCATGGACGCCTCGGACGACGAGGTGGGCGGCAGAACGGCTCTGTGGAAGCCTCATTCGGCTAACTCCGTCTCTCATATTGCGTGCCGTTTTCGTCTCATTACGCCCTTGACCGCGTTTTGCAGAAGTCACAGGGAGCTAGCGCTAGGCTAATATTTTTTCATCGGTATATTCCGGTCTAAGCGGACGATGAAGGGTACTACCGACTGAACCTTGTTTCCGTCTACTGCGGTCGGAGCTGGTAGTGTAGGGGTCCTGTTGACTCTGTTTCCGTATATTCCAGTCGGAGCTCGCGGAGTAGGGTCCTTCCAACTAACCCTTGTGTCATATGTTTCAGTTGAAGCTGGCGTTGTAATATCCTTCCGACTAACCGTTGTATCGTATATTGCAGTCGGAGCTGGCGGCCGTGTCTGGCGCGCGCAGAGAGGCGCCGCCTGACCGGCCTGAGGTCACCGGTAGCCCCTCCCAGCCGCCGACCGCCGGCGCCGGAGCCGGAGCCGGAGCGGAGCTGGGCGCCCAGAACGAGCACGCCGAGAGGTACCGTGGCGGGGAGGGTAGGGAAGGGACGGGCGGCGGTATGGCAGAATATTTTGACGGAGGAGGGATGGAGCGAGATAGGTGTGCACTGGAACGGGCAGGACGGGATGGGGGCAGGGCTAGAGAACTAGGGGCTGAGTTGGAAATTTTATCGGCGCTGTTTTACAACCTTCATTCTTTTGAGCGTAGCCTGTAGGTCGAGATAAATGAGTAACCCCTCCCTCCATCCGTTCACGGCTCTGCATAGATAACAAATATCCTAGTCAGTAGTTCGATAAATGAATAACCCCTCCCTCCATCCGCGGCGCAGCTCGAGGAAGCGTTCGGAGCCGGGCGGCGGCCAGATGATGGAGGGACGGCCGCACCTTCCGTCTGAGGAGGCGCGAAGGAAGAGGCTCATCCACTGCCCCGCCGGCCAGCTCAGGTACGGAGTGGTCTCTGATAGTCGGCGGAGGGCTCAGCGTCATTTGTGGTCGTTTGTTGTTAAGTGTTGGATTATCATAGCGGATGGGACCGTGCGGTTGTTATCAAAGCAGAGAACTCCTTCGCTCTAAGAACACATTTCTGTGAGTTTTTTCTTTAATCATGCTCTTACCTTCTGGGAATATTTCTGCCTTTCATTAATTTCATAAATCTGACTCGGTGTATAGCCGCTGCTTTGTTACATTCATGGAATACCGAAATGCGAATCATGCGAAGTGAAGTGATGACTGTGGCACGTGTCCCTGTCGTCCGTTGCAGCGGTCGGGACTCTAGCGACGACAGCTCGTCGGCCGAGGGGGACGGTGACGGGGATGGGGAGACGGCTCCGCGCGCCGGCGTCAAGCGGCGGCGCCGGGCCAACCCGAGCCCGCCGGCGCAGCGGCTGCTGCCCGCGCCCGCCGCCGCGCCGCCCGGGTACGTGCTCGAGAACTGCAGTGACCCCGTCCCCAAATACAAGAATTTGTGGCGGCCCGTAAGCAGCAAGAACCTAGGGCATCACAGTCCGGTCGGAGTCGACCGTATGTCATCTAATGTCTTAACCCTTTTGATCCCTAGAAGGATTGTAGCGCAACTGGTGTCTGTCAGCGTTGTCGTCAGTTATATTGGCTCTCCAGTCTGTTATATGACAGGCTGGGAGCATGGTATCAGTCAGTTATCTATCAGCGTATCGACTCTCCTCTGTCATATGACAGTCTGGGAGTTCTGGTGTCCGTGCGTTGCGTGTTGTATTGACTCACCCCTGTTCTGTGACAGACTGGGAGCGCGGCTGGTGTCCGTGCAATGCCGTCAGCTGACTCTTCCCCGCTCTATGACAGGCTGGGAGCGCTGGTATCTGTCCGGCCGCCGCCGTCTCCGTCTCTGTCGTCCCAGGACAGCCAGCTGGATGCTGACGTGTTCGCCCACGACAAACTCAAAACTAGTCTGCTGAAAACGGAACTGCAGCAGTTCAAGATGCAGCAAATGTACGTACTTGTCGATGAAATCATGCAGATTGAAGCGGAGTGACTCACGTATTGACTAAGAAACAGTACTTACCTACCTCTCGTCATCATTCGGCGTATCAAGTTGTGTTTTGATACCCTATCTATTTAGTCTCCACTGCCACATCCTGGAGCCTTACTTTCCCACACGTCCAAGTGTTTTCATCCTCCAGCTTTTCCTAGCTATACTCCCCGGCCTGATGATTCACTTTCTCGGACTCCTCTGTCGTGACTCCCACTGACTCGGACTCTCACCGCCGGCAGCGGCCGAGATCTGAGCGACGACGAGGACAGCTGCTCGTCTCGCATGTCCGTCAAATCGGAGAAGAACATGGCCGACTTTGAGGGCGAGGAGTGTGTCTACGAGGAGGAGCTGGTGCAGCTGGCTATCCAGGCGCAGTCGCAGCTGCCGCACCACCTGGCCAGCATGGCCAGCATGTACCAGGCGCGCTTCGGCGCCGTGCCGCCGACGCTGCTGTCCAAGGCGCGCCGGCCACCGCCGGCCGCCGGCAGCCACCTGTTCGCCCGGTACGGCACCGAGACGGTGTGCCAGCCGGGAAACACGCTGCTCTGGGACCTGCTGCACGACGACAGAATCGTACGTATAGGGTGGGAGATGGGATGTGGTGGGGTGTGTGGGAGGGTTTGTTGTGAGTTATATATGCTGCGGTTGGATGGGCTTCAAGCTATCTTTAATTATGCATGACGTTTATAGGACGTGCTTCAGCTGTGGTCAGTTGTGCCGGGTCTTCATTCACCGCGCTCTACGTCATGACTACTAAATCGCCACTATCACAATATATTTCAGCTCAGGGATTGCATTGATATTATAAATTGCATTTAAGTATCGAGTCCAGCGAATAATTAGCGTTCACAACTGTCCTAGCTTGTTGGTCTGACTGTCAGACTGCCTCGCCCCACAGGGTGAGCTGGGCGAGGGCATGGCCGCTGAGTGACCCCGATCTATTACCGATCTGTCCCACCCAACAGGGTGAGCTAGGAGTATCATGGCCGGGAGGTAACCCCGCTCTAACCGAACTGTCCCTCCCCGCAGGGTGAGCTGGGCGAGGGTATGGCCGCCGAGTGCGAGAAGATCCTCTCCAATCTGCTATGCTACAACTCGGACCGGGCCATCCGCAAAAAGTTCATCGAGGGCTGCCTGCAGAACCTGGCGCAGGGCCGCTCGGTGCTCGTCTCTCTGCGCATGCTGCCCAAGCTGTTCGCCTCCTTCCAGCAGTTCCGCGGACTGGACACACACCAGGTGAGGCTGATCTTTTTTATAAGCTTCATGCCTTTTCATTTCCGTCGCACACCCGCGCTTCTTTCGCTGTGCTTGTCTTCACCTCACATTGCGCATCGCCTATTTTATTATTGTCTCACCACTCCTCCTTTGTTTTCGCACCGTTTCACCACCGATTTTGCCCTCACCCGACTGACCGTGCTCCCTGCTCCGTGTTTTCAGATCACGCTGTGGGCCGAGCGGGAACACTCGATGATGCAGCACTTCTTCAACAGTCTGCGGCAGCTGTCCTCTGGCGACGCGGGCTCCTCGGACCCCAGCGGTCTGTCCACGCGACAGTCGGAGGTGCAGGTCCGGCTGCACTTCCTCTCCACAGTGTTCTGCTCGCTCGGATCGCCCGAACACTTCAGGTCAGTGGACTGGGGTCGAACGAACACCTCAGGTGGGTGAGCGTACTAGGGTTGTTCGAACACTTTAGGCCAGTCAGTTCTGGGGTCGCCCGAACACTTCAGGTCAGTGGACCAGCGTGAACTGAACGGCTCAGGTCAGTGCACTTGGCCGTGGCCCGAACACTTCAGGTCAGCCATGCGCTTAGCATGGACGTGGTGACTGTTGACAATCATTTGTATGTCACCTCCAATCACTTGTGTAAAATCACGACACTTTGTTGTGATGGTTTTGCATTTCTTTTACTATTTTGGTCCACGGATCACGTTAGGTCATTACGCTGAATTAGTGGAAAGGATTTTCTGTGTTCAATCGCTGTAAAACCACTCCACCTCGCTCCCTGTCCACAGACTTAGTGTGGAGCAGGTGGACACGCTGTGGACGACTCTGTGTTAACATTCCACCTCTCTATGTCCACAGACTGAGTGTGGGACAGGTGGACACGCTGTGGACGGATCATTATTACCATTCCACCTCTCCCTGTCCACAGGCTGAGTGTGGAGCAGGTGGACACGCTGTGGAACTGTCTGGCGCACGACCCGCGCCACTCGGATGACCTGTTCTCGTGGATGTTGTCCCAAGTCCGCGGCAAGGAGCAGCACGCCCTCGGAATGGACTCGCTCAGGTACGGGCGGATCACATGACTTATTTCGGGCACGGCTGATGTTTGTATAATACCAAACTGCAGTAAAAGGATTGTGTTTTCAATGGGAATTGTCCATTTTTGCTGGCACTGGAAATCGAGGGATTGCTTCTGCAATCTCAAGGCTTGAATCAATTCGCTCGTCTTTAAAGAACGCGAGGCCCGTTGGTCAGCACAGAGTGCCGAAACATCGTATCGTCACAAACACAATATTGTTTCCCGAATCCACCTCCTCTCTCCGGCGAAGCCACTTACCGCCGCCCCGCCTCCCCCACCGCCAGGTACCTGCTGAGAAGCTGCCCAGCACTGACCGCCTCCCCCACCCCACACCTCCAGGTACCTGCTGACGGAGAAGCTGCCCAGCCTGGACCCGGCCGAGATCGGTATGACGGCGCTGAACCTGTACCAGCAGCTGTACCAGCTGCTGCGGCTGGCCGGCGCGCCGCTGGCAGACACCGAGGCCGTCGGCATGGATCAGCTCTGGAAAATAGCGCTCCGGGCCAACAACACTGGTGAGCGGGCGGGGGGTGGTAGGGGAGATGGGGAACGGGGTGAGGAGTGTGCTCATGTAGGATATGAATGGGGGTTACAGGAATGGGGTAGTTTGCAATTTTATAGTGCGAATTGCTAGGCATTTTTAACGGCTTATGAGCAAATTGTGCTGCATGGAACATAAACACTTCTGAACTTCTAGCGTATAACATCAACAACACAAATCTTCCAAAATTACCAGCGCTCTTTCTTTGTCACCTCCACTCTCCAGACTTGTTGGATCACTATAAAACGCCATTCTATCATATTTTCCACAGGCGTTTTTGGTACTTTAACCCGCCCCTGTCCCCCTCAGACGTGTCTCTGGCGGCGATCCAGTACCTGAACTCGTGCTACGTCAGCGGCCGGGAGGAGCGCGAGCGGCGCTTCGTCGAGCGCTGCATGTGTGAACTGGCCTCGGCCGGAGCCGACCTCGGCCAGTCGGACGAGAGCTCGCTGCTGCGCATCCAGCGCGGTCTAGTGCTTCTCAAAACACACCTGCAGACTTACAGGAAACGGTGAGAGCGGGGTGGAGGACTGGGGGACAAAGCTAGTCAGGGGTTGATTTTAATTTTCATGCAATCTAGGCACGACATTTCACACCGTCAACAGTGACAGTTATTTCCAGCAGTTAGCCTTTCGCACTCGTCTGGCAGCCTGTTGTTTGTCCCCGATTCCGTCTGACCTCCCGTCCCGCCCTGCGGTCGGCCAGGTTCGCGTACCAGGTGCGCTGCTGGCAGCTGGAGGGTCACGGCGTGATGTCGCACGCCCAGCTGGTCGGCGAGATGGCCGCCCCACTGCGCGTCGTCCTCCAGCCGGCCTGCTCCTCAGAGAGGAAACCCATCACTCTGGCGCACAACAACTACGTGGCCGAACTGCGGGCCGAGGTGCACGCGTTCTGGCAGCAGCAGCAGGCGGCGGCGCAGCAGGCGGCCGCGCAGGGCCAGCCGGCGCGCCTGGGCGGCCCGGCCGGCGACGGTCTGAGCGCGGCTACCGACCCGGCCCAGCTGCGCATCATCTCACAAGGCACCGAGCTGACGCCCGACTGCGACGACAAACTACTCACCGACGTCGGCTTTAAGGACATGCAGGTGGGGACGGTGCTGCCGCGGTGGATGGAGGGCGGGGCTGTTCGGTAACAGCATGGGTGGTGTCAGTTGTCTTCTTTTGCCGAGCCACACCTTACTTCGGGTTAATCATTTTAAGGTTTGTCATCCACAACAATGTCGGCCGTGAACGTTTGGTGTGTATTTAATTTCAAGTACTCTCAGTGAAAAAGCTCGAATGGGAAATAGCTTATCGACATTGATTACGAGCTTAATGTTGTCTTCGCTTACCAATGCTGTGGCCTGTGTCTATCATATATAATTAATAACATTCCTGTTCCTAAATTTCCTTCCCTGCTGCTCCAGCCCAGCGCTGCCGTTTCTGACCCCTCCCGTCTCCCCGCTACAGCTGGTGTACATTTCGGTGGGCGTGTCGCGGCCGCAGCGGCGGTCGGCCGACGGCGCGGCAGGCGCGGACGGAACCCCTACCCGCGAAAGCAGTCCCATGATGCTGCTGCTCGAGGAGAAACACTTTACCCAGCTGCTGCAGCTCATGAACCAGCTGTCGTCGCTGCGCGGACCGGTGAGACTGGCTCGGATAGCGGGCTGTGTAATCAGCTGGCCTAATTGGCTTATCTTAATCTATTATTGATCTGAGATGCCCTTCTGTTGTGAGGCGATCACTCAGATCGTGCGTTCGCGGGTGTTGGATGCGTGCCATATTCACCAATTGTGTAATTTATTATTAATATATGTATTGGGTGTGCACATCGATGGCAAATTAAGTCAAGCGCTTCAGTGATAAGCCCAAACCTATCATCACAAGACTTCGATATGCCAGCTATTCCTAGACTAGGACCATCGAAGGAACTATTGCAAGCTTCATGTGCATCACTGGAAGAAGCTTACGTCTTGGATCTTCTAACCGTCCCTTCTATCTCTCACAGAACGGCGCTCCGCACACCAAGGCTCAGGTGCTCTCGCGGCGCGTCTGGGACATCCTGATGGTGCTGCCGACGTCGCCGCAGCTCAAGGACGGCTTCGGCGACCTGAGCGCGGTGACGCCGAGCACGCTGCACACCCTGCTGGACCCGAACATCCCCCAGAAGCTGATGTACTCGCTCTACCTGGTCGCCAGCCTCTGCAGCGGAAAGGAGGCCAAGGTATGTTCATTGTGCACAGCATTCTCTAAATGCATAATGGGTTGAATGTGTTTACAAGTTCAGTGTGCTAGTGAGTAGTTATTTAACCGAGTTATCTTATGACGCAATATAACAATCATCTCTATGTAGCCGAGTCACGCTGTGCGATTTTTTTCAGGAGGTATCTGACTCGGACCCGGAGAATAAGCAACAGACTCAGGAGTGGAGACAAAAGTTCATCGAGTGCGGCGGCCTCCAGCATCTTTACGACATACTCATGTCGGGTAAGCGGACCATGGTTGGCAAAGGAATGTAGACTGCATTATAGCGAACGGAAAGCCTGATTACTATGGCTTATGCTTCTTGAACACTTTGAAGCGTTTCTGGCACTGACCAAGCTAAATGTTCCTGTCCAATCAAACAGTTTTGTAACATAACTGCTAAACTAATTACATCTTGTTAAATGAACTGATCAAAATGATCAAACATCAAAAAGCAACATGCAGCTCATCAGCTCGTGATTCATCCCTGTGCCATTCGAACTTTGCTGTTATCCCACACCCATCGTGTTTCGTTTTCTTCTGACGGTCGCCGTTGTTATGCATTACAACTAGCATTTCTCTCTACTCCGTCCCGCCCCTTCCCCCGCTGACGCCGGCCCCCGTGCCGCCCCGGACAGGCGTGCTGCAGCTGCGCGAGGCCAACCACTGGGACGAGTGGCGCCAGGACTGTCTGGCCTGCCTGCTGCAGCTGCTGCTGCAGATCTCGGTGGTGCGGCCCGAGGGCGGCGGCGCGGCGGCCTCCGGCCCGGCCACCTGCTCCTCCTCGGGCGGCGGCGCCTCGCTGACGCCCGAGCACGCCAAGAAGAAGGCGCGCCGCCAGCAGCGCAAGTGGGACCAGCTGACGGTGCCGCGGCTGAGCCCGGCCATGCTGCGCCTCATGGACCTGGAGGCGGTGGCGGCGCGCCTCACCAGCGTGCTGCACGACGCCTCACTGCCGCGCGACCCCAACCACTACAAGACGGGCTTCTGGGGCCGCGCCCAGGTGGTGCACTACGCGCTCAACCTGCTCGTGTCGCTGTGCTACTCGGCGCCGGAGGCGGCGGACGCCATGTACCGCTGCGACCGCTACCCGGACTGGATGCGCCGCCTCCTGCTCGAGGACCCCGAGCCGGAGATGCGCCGCGAGGCGGCCAGCGGCCTGGATCGGCTCTGTCTGGGACACGCCGACGGCGGACAGGCCGGCGATCAGTTCGTGGCGCCCATCCTCAGCGAGCTGCTCAAGCTGATGACGGTGGCTGCCGGCGTGCGCCCGTCGGGCATGGAGTGCGCCGCCGCCGCAGTCGCCTCCGCCGGCGGCGAGGAGGCGGGGAAGGAGCCTTACGGCCCGTCGTGCCGCGAGTACTTTGGTCTGGTGTGCCGCCTCCTGGACAGCGTCGACGAGCCGGAGGCCACCGAGCTGCGACTGGCCGAGCTGGCGCAGCAGTGCGCGCGCAGTATCGCTGACCGCGAGCTGCTGGAGCGGCGCCACCAGACGGCGCCTGACGACGGCCTGGTGGGGCTGCTCAAACTGTGCGCGGCGCTCACCCGCCAGTCTCCGGCGTTCAAAACCAGCCCGGCCGCCACTCAGATGGTACATGAGGTGAGTGTAGGTATTGTATATTGTCAGCGCCTGCGCTTGAAGGTGGTTGGGTGCAGCGGTTTCGATTAATACTTTAAGCAGGCTATTAATATTCATGTGCATAGCGCCAGGCCTTTCACATTTTTATTTTGCATTTTGCGAAGCACGAAATTGACCTCAGACTCGGGGTATTTATAGTCAATAGGCATGATTCCTAAAACAATTTATCAGTATCATAGAAACGCTAAAAATTAAACGATAACAGATACGTAACATAAAAATTAACAGATAACAGATATAGATGCGAGGATGAGTTTGACTTTACATCTATGCACATCCCACAGGACACGGTTTTAATTTACCCTCGCATTTACCCTTCTCCCTCTCTGCCCGACAGCTGTTTGACGCGCTGTTCGCGCTGCCGACGCCGCGGGAGCGGCTGCTGCCCAAGTGTAAGTCTGTCCAGTCCCGGTCGGCCTGCTACGACCTGCTGGTGGAGCTGGCCAGCGGCTGCGAGGCCAACTTTGACGCGCTGCTGGGTCGGCTGCTGGAGCAGACGGCAGCCAGCCGTCACTCGCCCTACCCGTGGGACTACTGGCCGCACGAGGACGGCCGCTCCGACTGCGGCTACGTGGGCCTCACCAACCTGGGCGCCACCTGCTACATGGCTTCCTGCATGCAGGTCGGTCGCGGCAAGAACTGGGGAGGCCAGGGGCTGGGATTTATTATTACGGTTGACGATGCGTCACAAACTTTGACGTCGTCAGGCAAAATTTTAAGTTCGCCACTTTGTTCGGCGTTTTTTATGACAACCTGCATGATACCGCTCTTACGTTTTTACATCTGTGCATTAGCTCGCATTCATAGTTCATTTGACATATTTTTGACAGTGGTGTTTACTAATTTGTTGCTGCTGTGCGATCTCTGTTGATTACTTTGTATGATATCTTAAGTTGATTTCACTCCCGTGTTTTACTAAGCTGTCCATAACCTCAGCAGAGCACCTCCGAACTCCAGCTGACCCCCTCCCCTCGTCGTGTCGCCCGCAGCACTTATACATGATGCCCCAGGCGCGGGCCAGCATCTTACAGGCGGCCGTGGATAGCAAGTGTCAGCACGGCGTCACACTGCGGGAGCTGCAGCGCATGTTCGCCTACTTGCTGGTGGGTGACGACTGACGACGGGCGAATAGCTAATGGGATTTGTTGTGTAGCAGACGTGATGTTTGCGGGACGTGACGTGATGTGTGTGGAGTGGAGTTGGGGGTTTTGATTTATTATTTCATCACAATCTTATGCAGCATTTTGTATGCCCCACCATCTTGCGTAGCCACCAGTATCTCGTGCCCTACCTTGTCTCCCGCCCGAGCCCCTCTAATTGTCCCCCTCTCCGCCACCCAGGAGAGCGAGCGCAAGGCGTACAACCCTCGCAGCTTCTGCAAGGTGTACACCATGGACCACCGTCCGCTCAACACGGGCGAGCAGAAGGACATGGCCGAGTTTTTCATCGACCTCGTCTCTAAGCTGGAGGAGATGACGCCCGAGCTGAAGCGGCTCGTCAAGCAGCTCTTCTGCGGACAGATCACCAACAATGTGGTGTCACTGGTGAGTGGCGTCCCACAGGGCGGGTGACATTCTGATATGTGGGTTGTGGCGTTTGGATCCGTATAAAGTGGTGATATGAATTGAAGTTACTGAAGTTCAATATTTCAGTCATTAAGTTCGTTACGTCATGGTAGGTATACGTCTGATCAAGGATCGATGTGTTTCAAGGATGTTTCTGCATTTTGTAGCGCAGCGATCAAAATTCCATTGAGTTTGGACTAAACGACTTTGAGTAATCCATCGTAACTTTTTTGTTACTTCACGTCATGGACACTGTCGGACCTGAACGCGAGTTCTCCCTCAAAACTTGAACACGAGCACGCGATCTGAGCACAATAAGGGCCCAAGGCTGTTCGCTCGACCAGAAGCCACCCACCGGCCCCAGCTTTGACCCAGCCCCCGCTTGTTCCGTCACCTCAGGACTGTCCGCACGTGAGCCGCACGTGCGAGGAGTTTTACACGGTGCGCTGTCAGGTGGCCGACATGCGCAACCTGTACGAGTCGCTGGACGAGGTCACGGTCAAAGACACCCTGGACGGCGACAACATGTACACCTGCTCGCAGTGCCAGCGCAAAGTGCGCGCCGAAAAACGGTCAGTGCCGGGCAGGGAGTCGGATAAACGCGGAGTTTGCTGGCTGCTAACGTATTTGGAAGTCGTGAATGAAAGCTTAAAAGTTTTAAGTGCTGTTATTCTACGCGCATTGGTGCTACACAGCGTTTCAGTAATATTCATTCATTCATTCATTCATTCATTCATTCATTCATTCATTCATTCATTCATTCATTCATTCATTCATTCATTCATTCATTCACTCATTCACTCATTCATTCACTTGTTCGTCATGCCCATATTTCAACAATCTTTGAACTTTTTCGTTTTTTGTTTGTTCTGCTGTTCATCTCAATTTAGCCTTGCTATTCCCCAAGCATGACCTTTGTCATCACATTACTGACTGTCGTTTCCTCGATTGCAGAGCGTGCTTCAAGCGTCTGCCGCACATCCTGTGTTTCAACACGATGCGCTACACGTTCAACATGAACACGATGATGCGTGAGAAGGTGAACACGCTGTTCTCGTTTCCACTTCATCTGGATATGTCCGGCTACCTGGAGCGCAGTCTGATGCCCAACAAATGCGAGGACCGTACGTGAGACCTGCAGTGTGCTCAGGGCCGCGGTGGTGGGTGGGTTTTGAACTTGGTAGTTATCTGGGAGTGATTTTTAAGCCGTGTTTGGGCGTCGCTTAGTGTGTAGATTGGGATTCAATGCTATCCTTTTATTTTGATGCTGTTTCTATGCTCTTTTGGTTCGCGAATTCAGAGTCTCGAGCTTTGAGTGACGACCGCGACTTGAGTCAGTCTTCCCCTCCCGACAGGCGGAGAGTCGGAGTCGGAGTCATGCCAGTACGACTTAATCGGAGTCACCGTACACACGGGCACAGCCGACGGCGGCCACTACTATAGCTTTATCCGGGACCGCACGGCACCAACGCACAACAGCTGGCTGTTCTTTAACGACGCCGAGGTGAAGCCGTTCGACCCCAGCCAGCTGGCCGGAGAGTGCTTCGGCGGAGAGATGACGGTGAGAGGGGAAAGAGGGGACGATGACGGCGAGGGTGAGGCTAGGAGGAAGGGTAGCTGATAGTGGAGACGCTCAGAAGGGTGGACTGGTCAGGGCAGGACTCAGAACTACTCATTTAAAGGGACTGTCCCACCTTAACATTAGATTTGAGTTGAGATAGCCATCTTGATGGACGTTCTTTGAAAATCAGTGCCGTGAAAACCGTTTCTCCAGCAATTACTTCATCGCAAAGAAATTTGAGTTTGATTTTGACATCTGTGCAAATAAGTGCCACAATGTATTGGTATAGGCACTTAAATCTGATGACGTCATCAGGCTTTCGAACGTCCGTTAAATGTTTGACTAAAACGTTTTGTAGCACGCGGTGGTATATGCTGCGTTGCGCGCAACAAATGCCGCACTTTTAAATAAAGTCGCTAGGAACAGCGGAGATCCCAAAAAGTAAACAAAAGTAAAAGTCTAATATCTTGAAAACCGGTGAATATTTTTCGGTGAAATTTGGTAGATATTCGTTTTCGCTCTTTCTGAACCGAGCGACATCACTTTCATGCCAATTCATAAACTTTTTTAAAGGTGGGAGGGTCCCTTTAATGGATGGCTGAGATTTGTATGTTGGGTTACTGCACGTGATGGGGAATAATAGAACTGGGCAAAGTCTGGTTTTTATTTATTTATTTGGTAGGCGTGATGCCTGCATCAGCACTTGGTTGATTGGTATTCACTATGCTATGCACGTTGCTTATCCTGTATTGAAGTGAGTGTAACAGTTTGTCTCTGCAACTCAATGGCCCAATCTTATAAAGGTTGTGCTACCAAATGGCGTACTATCATTCCACCCCACTCTATTTACGGCACCCTATTCACGCAATCTTATAAAGAGAATAGTATGGTAATTCTATTCACGCCATTTTGCCCACAGTACAAATCAACGCCAGCAGGAAACACGCAACGTGATTGGTCAATATCTTGCCGCCGTCGCTATTGGAAATTATGCGTACTGTTTGCGAACAGCAAAAGTTATGTGTTTTAATTTTTATTGGGCATTTATTTCTTTTAGAGACACACATATGTGTAATAAACAAATTATTTATGGAAAACGTGATAGCAAAGTATGGAAAACACCAACATGCTTGAAGAATTCTCCTGAAAAGTGGATTTCCGACCAAATAAATTTCAGCGAGGGCATTCTCGCGCTCAGAAAATCGAGTGAATAAGGTGTTTCTTCAACTTATCATTTGCATTTATTTGCTGTTAAGACATTGCAATAAGTTTGTTAAAGAATTATTTAAATAATCATTTAATTACAGCTCGGCTACTCTTTCAGTAATTGAAGTAATGCCGTTGACAATGAAGCTCCTACAATTTGAGCATCAGGATACGTACATTAGCTGGATCAATTCAAGATATAGCTTATTTTCCTTCTTATCTTCATGAAGATAAAGCTACTAAAATTCGAAGATTACGTACATGAGCTGAATTAGGTCACTAGTTACAGCTTATTTTCCTTCTTATTCAAGCATAGGTACCAATTACCTAGCCTTAAGCTAAAAAGCAATTCCTCAAAAGATTTAAGTACCCAGTCTACATATCAAAGCTATATCAAGAAAAATACTTGGTTCAGAAGTCAGATCGAGATGCAGGAAGAGAAACAACAGATTCATCACTGATCAGTGACTGTGCCAAACAGAAAGTGAGGAAATACGAATAGTGAGTAGGCATTCATAATTTTTTGACAAACTAAGGTATATCATCATTAATGTAAATATCTAATCAGAAGCCATGAAGTGCCCGTTATTTGTGTCATACGTGAGACGTGAAAATAGGCTAAAGACCCATACCGATTCTATAATGCAGTGGCTGCCGAAAATCTAAGACGGTTACTAATGCTAAAATCCTCTTAAAATCCCCTTTTTATTTGAAAAATAAAGCCATATAACGATGAACACTCGTTTTTATATGTTTTAGCGTGCATTTAGTTCCTAGAAATACATATTTTCAAATTGATCGTTGTCTGTATAATTAAGCATCATTATAGTAAATCATGAGTTAATATGTGGAGGATGTTTTAATCTTAGAAATATCATAATGTAAAATATTGCATACTTATATCATAAAAGCATGGAATTTATCTTAAATCAATTAAACTGTCTGAGAAGCTCGTCAAAGTACGCCACAAATTCTGGCGTGAAATGGACGCCGCTGAAACCGCAAACAGCTGATGATTGTCGGTGTTTTGAGATGTGCACAGCTGCTCACGGTTAAAATCAGTTTACGGTATCCTCAAAACCAGCGGCTACCAATACCGTAAAGAGCGTGCCGTGTTTTCGATTTCACAGAGTTTTATAAGATTGCGTACTATATATCCAGCCTTAGAGTGCTGCCATATCCATTTCACGGCGTTTATAAGATTGGGCCAATGTGCTGACTGGTATGTTTTATTTTATTCCAGAGTAAAACGTACGACTCAATCACGGACAAGTTTCTAGATTTTAGCTTTGAGAAGACGAACTCGGCGTATATGCTGTTTTATGAACGATGTGTGCAGCCATCTGAGCAGGGCGGCTCTAAGGTAATTGAAGGCTCGCAGCAGTGTTTCATTTTTCAGCCTTTTTGGTGGCAAATCACACCTAATGGGGAAAATATTTTCATCCCTAAAATATGAATGACCGACTTTACTTCATCTCTGAAAAGAGTTTCATGTATTCCCAACAGCCAGTTCACTTGTCACTTGACAGTTGATGCACCCACATCCTTTTGTTCCACACCCTGTCAAGATCCTGACATGAAATCCTTGTTTATCAGTTAGCATAAAAATTGGCATTACACCATTTTGCAAAAATACTGCAGTTATTTACTTTCTTTTTTCTGATCCTAGGATTTTTTTTCTTCATCGGCACACCCAACCAATATCCAATTTTAGAACACTGGCTCGCAGTCCTTGTGGTAACGCTAGGGTAGTTCGCTATGCTACTAAGCCTCAACATTCAACAAGGTTCTCTAGTCATGTTTGCAGCTGATGTCTGCTTCTTATGATTGACTAAACCTCAGTGTCGGGCTATGTTCTTCAAGCATGCCACTTAATTTTCTGTTGAAATAGTTGTTGTAATACATGCGCTTATGAATAATGGCTAATTGGTGGCTGAATTTAATTAATATAACCTTTTACAGCAACAGCAGCAGCAACAACAACAAGAGCAGCAGCAGCACGACTCCAGCTCCGACCAGCAGCAGCCGCCGGACCAGCAGCGGCAGCTATCCGTGGGCGACCAGCGGCCCTCGCCGCCGCCGGCGCCGGCCGAGAAGGCGCAGCCGGTCTCCCCGCCGACCGCCGCCGAGCTGTCCCGACCCCACCTCCGGCCCGTCGACCTGCCCAGCTGCGAGCTGAGCTCCGAGCTCGAGGACTGGATCTGGAAGGATAACATGGAGTTCCTCAGGGACAAGAGCATGTTCGATCACACCTTCTTCAAGTAAGGCGTGGGCTGGTTCTCGGTGCTGTCGTGAGCATGCATTGGCTCAATAATACGGGATTTTATTATTTCGAATTCATTCTAGCATCCATGAGAAATTTGTTGGTATTCTACACAATTTGAAATGCATTTTACAAAATCTGGAGCCAACTCTGTCACACGTCATGCGTATTTCGTTGCTGCTTCCCGCGACTGTGTTCGCGACTGTCATCTCCCGCCTTCTGACCTCCGTCCGTGCCCGCCCTCCCCCAGTTTTATGTGGCAGGTGTGCTGTCACTGCCTACACCTCCCTAATCTCTAACCGTGCCCCCCTCTCCCCAGTTTTATGTGGCAGGTGTGTGGCTACATCCCTCAGACCCTGAGCCGCAGCGAGGCGGTGACCCTGCGCGCCGCACGGCTCTCGACCACCTTCTTCCTGGAGATATTCATCCACGCCAAGGAGAAGCCCACCATGGTGCAGTGGGTCGAGCTGCTCACCAAACAGTTCAACGCTTCACAGGTGAGGATTAGCCTGGGACACAATGAGTTGAACGGTGAAAGGCGTGGGCTTATTATGACTCGTTGTAATTACAAGTGTTCAATGTGCTAAATTCCAAGTGTGCTGCAACTTTACTGTTACGAAATGGCCCACAGGGTTCCCTACTGCATCCGTTTCTAAAATAGTCAGGTTAGCTGCTTGAGTAATATAGGTACTTGAAATGTGAATATTTTTATGCATTTGAGGTCTTAAGAGCAACTGGTTCGTGCTCTTTTCAAGCCGTTGACCGCTTGGTTATTCTATATTGTATCATCCGTTTTGCTTTGATCAGCATTTGTTGGTGGCCGCCTCTCTTCAGCTTTTTGGGAGTGTTCCCTGGACCACTGGTCACTCGATCGATGACGCCCCGTTCTTCTGTAATATCCAGGCGGCCCGTGAGTGGTTTTTGGACCACATGGCTACCGACGAGTGGTGGTCCATTCAGATCCTCATCAAGTGTCCCAACCAGATCGTGCGACAGATGTTCCAGCGGCTCTGCATTCACGTGGTGCAGAAACTCAGGTACGGACGCGGACGGGCACGGGTCCGGGCTAGGTCAGTCCCGGGGACGGGGGGAGGGGAGGGAAAATAGAGGATGAATGACTGGTGTGTGCTCAGCTGCTGCTGTGAAGTGTGAAGGCTATGATTTTGATGCCTTCTTCCTCGCCTTTGTGTATCATGTGTATGTCCCATACGTGACCGTGTCTCCACGCGCCCCAGGTCGGTACACAGCGGCCTGTACCTGCAGCCGGCCGAGGGACCATTGCTGTTTGTTTGTCGCGCCTCTGTCTGTGTATACTATATGACCTTGTCTCCATGCGTCCCAGGTCGGTACACAGCGGCCTGTACCTGCAGCCGGCCGAGGGACAGCAGCCGTTTGACTGACGTGTCTGTGTATACTATATGACCTTGTCTCCATGCGTCCCAGGTCGGTACACAGCGGCCTGTACCTGCAGCCTGCGGAGGGACAGCAGCCGCGGCCCTCCGAGCTCGGGCAGCGCTCCTGCGTCACACGCTTCGTACGGAAACTCATCTCACTGGTGAGTCAAAACAAATCAAAACTCATCTTACTGGTGAGTCAAAACAAACTCAAACTCATATCACTGGTGAGTCAAAACAAAGCAAAACTCATCTTACTGGTGAGTCAAAACAAACTCAAACTCATATCACTGGTGAGTCAGACGTCGAAACCGATGGAAGCTCGTTTGAATTTTAAATCGGGCTCCTGATTACAATGCGTACCGCAACCAACGAACGCGATGCGTGATGAGCGATGACTCTTTTGAGTGGGCACTAGTGGTGTCAATTTCAGAAAACGTATGTCCAAAGTCCGTCCAATGTCCAATGCTTACGTCGACTGTCCGTCCAAAAATGTCCAAGCCAGCCATTTGTCCAAAGATGTCCGACACCTACGCAATAGTTTACACTCAACACTTTTTTTTTTTGCATTGGGACATTGTGTTAACTATAATCCGATGACTGATCCGATGACTAATCCGATGACTCAACACTGTTATTTAATTTCCTTTTCATGTACCGTTACCAGCTCAAAAGTGTTAATCATATCGAAAGCTGAGCTTTCTAATAGCTAATCAATGTTAAACCCGATTACTTTTTTAAAATGTTGAGGTGTAGCAAGCGATTGTCCAAAGTTGTCCAAAGCCTGCTGCCATTGTCCAACCGAATTCCGAATTGGACATTGGACAAAATCGGAATTCCGAAGATTCAAGTTCCGATTGACACCACTAGTGGGCACCAGATGGATGCGAGCCTTTCTTGAATCGGTTTTCCAAATGTCTCATGTAGCTGTTTCTATTCTGTCTATCCTTTTGCCTCAACATAATCCGTCTCTTCCTCCGACCCAAAATTCTAGCCATGCAGCGTGACGACCCATGTGTCTTTATTTCAGATGGAGCACGGCGCCAAATCACATCTACGGAATCTCACCGAGTATTTCGCGTTTCTGTTCGAGTTTGCCAAAATGGGTGACACCGAGACCAAGTTTCTGCTGGCCACGGAGTGTATCACGACCATGGTCAACTTCTACCTGAGCCAAATACCGGAGAATGTAAGTGCACTACAGAAAACACCGGATAAGTTACGCTAGCGACATACGAGTATTTCAGAGGCAGAAAAGGAAGACTGCTCTCCCATGGATCCGGTTGTCGAAATGCCTTGGCTGGTTTGGTGTCTTATCCGGTAATAATGAGTTTATATAAGAGTTGACACTCATTTCCTAGTAAAAATGATAGAATAAGTTTCGTGTTCGATGTGTTTCGGTGTCGAGGTTTTGTCCCGATTTTCTTTGAATACTAGAGGATGTGATTGGAGGCCGTAAAGTAAAGCCAAGAACGTTTTGTGAACCTGCATCTCACTTTAAAGTCTTGCCCCTGAAAAGCAGCAACTTTCTTGAACATGGACTTCGTGTTTGTAATGCCCGAGTCACGGTGTGAGCTGAGGTCTGTGCTTCCCGCGTCGACTCGACAGTGACTCTTCCTCCCCCCCCCCCACCGCCACCCCCACCCCCACCCGCCACCAGTCTGACGAGGCGTCTGACTCCCCACCTGTTGCCAGTCTAACTCTGACCCTGCCCCCCCCCCCCCATCGGTTTCCAGTCTGACGAGGTGTCGGACGAGGAGGAGGAAGATGCCGAGACGTCCGGCGGGCCCGGCCCCGGCGGTCCCGGCCCGGGCGGTCCCGGCGCCGGGCCCGGCCCCAGCCCGGTGCGACCCGCCGACAAGTTCCGGCCGGCCAGCCTGGAGAAGATGATCAGCCTGGTGGCGCTGCTGGTGGAGAAGTCGCGGACCGAGGACGGCAGGCTGTCGCTGTCCGCCTCAGACCTGGCCGCCGTGGCAGGTAAGGGTACGGGGGTAGAGAGGACTGGGAGGACGGGAGGGGAGACTGCAGCAGGCTGGGGCTGTGAATGGCGGATAATAGCCACCGTACTAGCTGAAGGCTGTTATGATCCCGTAACATTATTGATAATGTTCATTGCCCGCTCATTTAGGCTCGAATGTTCATTGCTCATCGTCAGATTTAAAATTGTTCAGATAATGGTAAATGAACATATTTTGAGGTTGTGATCCAGCGTGCGGCTACGCCTACGGCCTGCACAATGCACATGCTTTACATGATACAGTTATGATCAACTGTTTGAAAGTGTGTGACCCTGTCAATTACCCCAGACTGACTGCAGAAAAATAAAATCTGACCGCCTACCGTTTCATCCCTGTCGGCAGGCGGCAAGGGCTTCCCGTTCCTGTACCACCAGATCAAGGACGGTCTGAACGTGCGTGCCACCTGCACCCTGGTGCTGGCGCTGTGTCGGTGTAACGAGCGGCTGGCTGGGCTGCTGGTCGGCATGATCTTCCAGGCCGTCATCAAACACCAGGAGGTGAGAGATGAGAGGACGGAGGAGTCGGAGAGGGGATGGTCAGGAGGGACTGCGAAAGGTGCAGCAGGGTGTGAGACAAGGCGGGGTAAGAGACTGATCAGAATGTGAGATCGAGGTTGAGTGGCGGACAGGGATGCAACTTTAGATAGATAGGGTGGATGACAGGCTGGAGGTGCGAACTAATTTATAATCAGGGACACCAGCAGCTGAGTGGGTATGGTTTAGACTTTGAAGCACTCCAGAGTCAAGCCTAGCATCCGATCATCGTGAAAGCGTGAGCCCCGTTCGCTGATTTCCTGAGCACTGACCGCCCTTCCTCCCGTGTCCGTGTCCATCCGTCCGTCTCAGGGATGTCAGCCGTTTTTCCGCCTGCTGACGCTGCTGGTGGAGGCTGACTCTGCCGCCGGCGGGACGGGCGGCGGCGGCCAGCAGCCCTGTTTCACCCAGCTGGCGCTGCAGCACATCTGGGAGGTGGCGCAGTTCTGTCCGCAGCCGGTGCTCGAGTGGCTGGCCGCCCAGGTGCCACGCAACAAACAGGTGCACTCCTGGGTGCTGCAGAACCTCGACAACTGGTGCGAACACTTCCTCATCGGACACGCCCAGTTCCGCGTCAGGGCCTGTGAGTAGACCGGGAGGAGGGAAAGGGAAAGCGTGTTTGGTAGAAATAGAGGCACTGAGCCTCGATTGTGCCTCGTAACCACTGTACTGCAACGCGTTTGTTTGCTGTGTTCCTACATGGTTTAAATTACGCCACTAAACACTACATTATTTAAGCTCTTTCAAGCAGCTATCACTGCTAACCATATTTTCATGGCATTTTTACTGGGTGAAGCCTGCAAACGTATTCGCTTTCCCGTACTCCAAGCTGGTTGATATCTGAGGTCTCCGGTGTGACCCGTGACCAGCTGACCTGTGCTGTTCCCCGTTCCCCGTCGTTTCCAGCGGCCAGTCTGCTGCTGGTGGGCCTGGTGCCGTCCTCTCAGTTCCGGCACCTGTTTGCTCAGCGCCAGCGGCAGAACTCGGGCGACCTGACCCTGCCGCCCGAGGCGCTCACTGTGCTGCATCAGGTCAGTCCGGCTGCGTTAGGGTGGAGTGCGCCGGCCGCTGACTTCGGTACATACATGAACTATGAATGTATTGGATAAGTGTGTATGTGTGTGGGGAGGGTGGGGGTGGGGGGGCAAATGACCGATGGTAACCTATTGATGGATCTAAAGGGGACCTTTAGGGCGTAGACCCCTATCAGCTGCAGCTGCCCTAAAGCGTTCGTAAATACCCACGATGCGACTGTATACAACTCGACACGATGTTGACTGTACAGTAGGTCTATTAAAAAAGTCCCCCGCACCAGTGGGCGCTGCCTTCGCTGAGCCGAACCCCCGTCTGCCTGTCCCATATCGCGCCGGGCTCAGATCAGGTAGGGTCAGCGGGACCGCTCGGTCCGGCCCGCGGGCGGTGGACGGGCGGCCGGTAACGCTTTCCACCAGCCAGCTGTAGAATCCAACAAACGGGACGGCCACCGCTCAGCGCAGCGAAACCGGTGTTAAAGAATGGCAGTAGATGTTCATGGCCACAATGATTATGAGATAGTCATTGTTAGCCCGTGCCCCACAGGAATGCCTAGACTCTCACGCCCTGTTGGAGGGGAACTGGGGATTGAGCATCATTCTTATAACTCAGCCTTGGGCATTTAAGTGATATTCGAAGTAGCGTCAAAAGGAGCAAAAAGAAGAAAAAAAATATTTCAGACAATTTTGGATCAGGTCATAACCAGAGGTCATGTCACTAGAGGTCATCGATGGTAAAATTTTGCTTAGACAGGGTGCGTTGCGCGCACCGGTGCATTGGGTTTCCAATTTCCATGGAAACATCAACAGACTTGGAAGCTCGCAACAGGGGCGCGGGAACTACTTTCCGACTGGGGGCACACCATAATAGAGATCAACCTAGGGTCCCCCAAATCTAGTTTTCTCAACGGTTTTAGGCCACTTAATTTTCATCCCTCGGCTTTTTCAATAAAATAAAACATTTGCAAAAAAGTGTGGTATTCCGTCTCAAAGCTGTGGGGGCACCGCTCCCACGGCCCCAGAGTTGGGGGGGGGGGGGGCAAGCTGCCCCCACTGCCCCCCCCCCCGGCTCCCGCGCCTATGGCTCGCAAGTCGCAACGCTAGCGTGGAGCCGAATTCATATCAACCGCCGCAACAATGCAGCAGCGCAGCGCAGCGTGCTGCAGCGCGGGGCCGTGAAACACCGCCCAGGGCTATCCATGTGTCAGGGCAATCCAACCCACGGGATGGGCTCTGTCCCAGCGGAGCATGACTGGTCCAGGACTCCCGCCCAGGCCCCCTGTCTCCCCCTAATTCCTATCATCCTTCCCACTCTGAAATCGACCGAAAGAGCCTAACCTAACACAACAATCAGCTCGTTTACCGCTATGTCTGAAATCTGAATAATATTGTCAGATTTAATTAGGGTCAACGGCTTAGCATGTAAATAACAACAAATGCCACCATCGGTATTATGAGAAAACCAATTGCTTTTCCACAAACATTTGAAAGTTTTTAGCTTAAAACTTGCATGAAATTAATTTTACCAGCCTCGTGTTCCTCTTATCAAAACGCTTCGAATGAATCAAAAGTTGATATTTAAAGGTCATTTGAAAAATTTGGCCTATGTTCAAAGACATGACCTGACCAGAAATGGTCATAATGCATAGCAGGATATTGGATCCGTATCGTGGAACTTCGCAAACACTTCAGATGATTTCATAACTTAAGCATGTCTATCAAAAATAATTATTACATGGCTCATATGTAAGCTGGGTGTGTGAACATGCTTGCGAGTATGTCGAACGCAACTGATAATGTTCTGTTGGCCACAATTTCTATATTTAATTTATCCTCCCGAATTTCATATTTTTGTTAATGACACCTTGACGATGTCGAGAAAAAACGCTTAGGAGATTTAACAGCCTGAGATACATTCAGTATAAGGAAGGTTCAAGGGTGCTAGATTCCTTCCGTCCTAGCTATCTTCAGGAAAAACCAATCCGCATCGCCCCTAGTCTTCATGCTTCCCTCTCAGGACTGGAGGTCACCCCACCAGCCAACCTGTAGTTGATGTCGGATCCATTCCAGGACACATAATCCTCTTCGGGTGACCGTTTGGGAGACGGCTGGACCGTCCCGACAGGGCAATCGTCCCACGGGAACAGTCTCGCTTCCGCAGATCACTGTCGCTGGCTCGCACAACCCAATTAGGTACTACACCACAGCATAGTTATGTCATAGCTCTGCAAGGACCTTTTCAGACCGAAAAAGATGGCCCCCAACAAAACAAACAATTTTCTCATTCAGTATTGTATCTCATTAAGCACCACATGTTTTCAGAGTGTTTATTATGCGTTCCGTCCAAAAAAGCGCAGTTTTTTTGGACGGAATTTTCAATTTTCTCCCATTGACTTGAGCGGTTGAGCGATCTCAAAATTGACCCGGCCTTTCTGTCAACAATGTCAAACTTGCAAAGTAAACGTTTCAAATACATATACTGTTGCCCATTAAAATCGCTGAAAGTTCTGAAGCGATCGGTTAGTCGGTATATTTAGATATGATGAGCACAGGAACTTTCCTTGAGGTAAGGTCACTTGACATAACCTGATGTTATGAGTTATGACCTTGAATTGAAAGACTTGGGCGGGAAAAAATGGGCCATTTGAAAATCTTAAAATGCTAGATTTTAACAATAATTGCAAACACTATCCCGGCCAAATAGTGAGTGAGAAGAAAGCGATTCCCCGTTTAGCTCCTATAATTGCGCTAGCTGCTAGAGCCTCGCGGAAAAAAACGAGCGCTTGCGTCGTTACGTGACGCAGCGACTGGCACCCCATTTAAAAATATCAGTGACCTCTTAGGGCAGGTCGAGGGCCCCAAGGCATTTGATCGGTTCTTGGTAAATAACTAAACGCATTATCGTCATTTCGATAAATCGTGTTTTCTGTTCTCAGACGCGTCGACTTATATGCTTTTTTGTTTAGGTGAAGCAATTTAGGATGTTTACCTCAAGTCAATGTCATGTTAGGGCAACGCAGGTCACGAAGCTGTTGAAAAGAGGACATGTTGCATAACATTTGGTTCGGCAAGTCTTGCAAAGTCCATTGATGGCTGTCCCGACTGGCTAGCTCATTTTGATCGGGAGTTATTGACGAAACACTCCTATGACCCTAGTGACGTCATAAATGACGTCACGCAAGGTGAACAATGCAAAAGTGAAGCATTAGACCTTGCCAAGAATGTATGAAGTCACGATTTCATGTGCTTGAGGTATAGTTTCAGATCATTTCCGACGCCAGATTAACAGTTTCCATAATTCCCCATTATGCTTATACGACACTAAGTGCATTGCGGATTGCATCATTTTATAACCGACAACCCTGCAGAGGTTTACCTAAGACGTCATAGTTCAGTGACCTGACCTGAAAACGTGGTTGATGTCAAGTGATCCGGCTTGAATGAAATGTAAGGCATGTGAAATGTCAGCCTTCTATCATCAGTGTGCATTGAGCTACCGCAAAAAAAAATGCATGGTGGTGGCATCCACCCCTTCTTCTCGGCCGGCGGGGGTTAAACCTCGCTTCGAATTATTGCAGCTAATGATGTGACCGAAAACAAAGCATTATTCTGTGTATAGAACGGCCGCTGACTTGTTGGACAGGATCCCCAATCTTAATTCGCTAGATCTAGCGAATCACATACCTACCGAGTATTTTATTGCCATCTATGGGAATAAAATACTCGGTATGTGATACATATAGTTATACCCCTCGATTTGCCCTCGCGCTAAGTCTATTCTAATCATCAGTGTCGCTTTTTTATCCGAGATGATGTCGCCGCTAAACGGGTTGTTTTGTTTGCTTGCTTGCGCTGAATGGCCATTACAGATTATTGAAGGATTATGATAAAATAGGGATGGGGCAAGGGAGGATATGCACTGCAGGTGTTTAATTAAGATCACAAAGGCATCATTTCCGGCATCGTGCAGAGTCATTATCTTCCCCTCCTCTGCACTGCGGCATCTCTGCGCCCCACACACGGCGTCCTCACTCCACGGCCGGCCGGCGCCAACTGACTCACTCGCCGGGCGCCGCGACCTGACCCGTGTCGCTGCCGCGGCCTGCGCAATAGAGTCGGGGCTGGAATCCGGGGGTTCGGCCGGCCGGCCGCCTCTGGAGCGGGGGACTTTTTTAGTAGACCTACTGTACACACTGATACCTTGCCTGGCACATATTGGTACCATAATATCCAAACTAACAGCCAAAGTATCAGAGCCTCTGATGGCCCCTGAACCAGACTCTGACGCCGTACCGAGCGTTCTGACGTGTTCTAACGTATCTTACAGGTGTACCAGTGCCTGCTGCGTCTGCTGAAGCCGGCCAGGGTCTACACAGATGTCCAGATGCACGGCAACATGAAGCTGGTGCAGTACTTCCAGCTGATGCAGTACTGCGTCCTCTCCAGAGCCGAGAAACTCATGGTGAGGTCACTGGCCGAGTGTCCGTGATTGAGGCAGTGTATGAGATCGATTGTGAGATCGATTGAATTTAATGTCCACTTTACGTCATGCTTTGCATTGGATACCTATAGGGGCGTATTGATATAGACATATACAAGCACAGACTGGCATCATTCTGTTAACGCTTATCCAGTTCAGAGCGTCCCGTTACATTTACGGCATCTCCCCGTTACATTTCAGCCCGTACACGGACGACCTGTGGACGCTGTTCAGTCTCTATGTGACTCCCCCGCTGTGTGTATTTCAGTTCAGTCCGTACACGGCCGACCTGTGGACCCTGTTCCACCCGAAGCTCTCGGAGCCGTCGATCGCGGCGCACCACAACAAGCAGGCGCTGCTCATCTTCTGGTGCACTGTGTGTATTGACTGCCCGGAGAACGTACAGCTGATCGTCTCCAACCCGCACATCACCAAAAACATCGGATTCAACTACATACTGTGAGTGGCCGGACGTCCAGGGGCTGGATGGGGTTTGTGGAGTGGTGATGGACGTCGCTTGATGACAGCTGATGGGTGTTGTGCTCCTTTCTTTTGTTTTGTATTGTGTTATAACAGCTCCTGTGTCAGAATTCCCGTTGATTACACGATGCTCTGACTGTAATGGTTAGACATTTTTAAACATAAAAAGGAAATAAACGAAGGTAACAATGCTTTGTTGCCATTTCTCTTTCGCCATGGGTCGAAATTATCTATCCATGTCGGGCTTAGTATTCAACCCACGGCCCATCCCACAACCGTTCACCACCCGCTGGCTGCCTCCCTCCCCTCTGATCGCCCCCTCCCTCCTTCCCCAGAGCGGACCACGACGACGACCAGGTGGTGCTGTTTAACCGGAGCACACTGCCGGCCTACTACGGTCTACTGCGGCTCTGCTGTACCCAGTCGCGCGCCTTCGCCCGACAGCTGGCCAACCACCAGAACCTGCAGTGGGCCTTCAAAAACATCACACCCTACCCGGCGCAGTACAGCGCCGTGAGTATACGGGGGAGGCGGAGAAAGGGGGGGGGGGTGGAAGATTTCTCGGTACTGGTCGCGCTCCGAAGTCACCTATTTTGAGGAGATTTGATGTGTTGGCATGTTCTTATGTAAGATTGAGATGCTTGGTAAGAATCATTGAAACGCGTTATGACAATATTATAACTAGACTAACGGGAGAAATTCATCTATGAGCAATCGTATTGGAAGAAAAACTTTTGTACGGGCATTCTCCATGGCTCCCCTGCCAACCTTTCATGTCCTTCTACCAGCTGCAGCTAACGTTTCCGCCGTCCCCCTGTCGCCAGGCGACTGACGAGCTGCTGAAGCTGATGTCGCTGTTCGTGCTGGTGCACCCGGACACCACCGAACAGGAACTGAGGGAGATCGTGGCGTTCAAGCGGCAGACGCTGCAGATGTACCTGCAGGTGAGCCCATCAGGAGCGCGGGCGGACAGCGGGAGGGGCGGAGGGGATCCAACGCGAGCGTGGATGGGCAGCGCTGGGAAGCTATTTTATTTTACGCTAAACCACCCAAATGCTGGGTGGTTGATTTGATTGATTTGTGTTTATTGTGGTGGACAGCATTTTTAGCCTTTTCCAAGCCAGCATTTCTTAATTATCGTGTCTAGATAATTGAACGAGCTAGAGAATCGCGTGCGAGCCGCCAGCCGGAGCCGATGATAGTTGGATGTTGGATAGTTAGATTGGATAGAGTGTCCTCCCTCGCCGTTAGGTGCTGGACGCCCGCTCCAGCCTGCTGGGCTATCCAGTGTCCACTGTCCACTGTACGAACCCCGCTCCACTCCCTTTGTTAGGTGCTGGACGCCCGCTCCAGCTGGGCAGTTGGCACTAAGTCCCCGTCCCTCGTGCCGTCAGGTACTGGACGCCCGCTCCAGCTGGGCGACTCTGATCTCGGCGCTGAAGGTGCTGCTCGACACGGCCGAGGACCGTCTGTTCCTGGTCTATAACGGAGGCGTCACGCTGCTCTGCGAGGCCACTCTGGCACTGCACGCCATGCTGCACGAGGCCACCGCGTGCCACGTGACCGGCGAGCTGACAGAGCTGGTCCGGCTGCTGGCTGACGTGCTGCGCTGCTGCAAAACATTCAGGGATAACAAGGTAGGCCGGGTGGTGGTGGGACGAGTGCTGGATCGGGCATCACGTGAAGATAGTGATGATGAAAGAGAGGTTGGCGTTTAGCTTGTCTTGGTGTGCATAACATCAAGTGCTTGCGCTCACTGATCAGCTTATAATCCAGCTTGTACCCTAGTCCTTCGCTTTACCACAACAGTCTGCAATGGTTGAAATGCTTCGATGTTTCAGTCTTCTGTAGTTTGGATGGTGGTTGAAGTCTTGCGAAGCCTTATTCTGCTTGGCTCATTCATGTTATGCTTCGGTCTCAGTGATATGGAAAGCTAAAAGGCAGTAACTGTTATCATCGATGCTATGGACAAACTGTTTATTTTTCGTGTTGGAGATATCGCTGTAATCGTTTAAACCTCTGAACGAGTTGTCGCTCTCTGCGGCAGGACGTGCGGCACGCGCTCATCAACTGCAAGGAGCGGCTGGAGGTGATGCGGAAGCTGGCCACGCTGCTCAACAGCTTCACACCACCCGAGCTGCGAGCCGCCTGCATCGGTACGTGGTGTGTGACCGGGCGGCCGGTGGGCGGGAACCCGTGCACAGCAGGAATTCAGTGGAACATGGGGACCGCAGCATTTTATGCCGGTTGTTTTATCGTATGTTTTTTTTGTGCTTTAGTACGTTTTGGTTATTGTGTTTTGGCTCCCACACATTCGAGCATAGTTATTCCAAACATATTGTTCGCTTCGATCTTATGTCCAAGGGATTAAGCAGGTCACACTCGTGTATAGTGGCATCTGAAGTAGATGGTACTAGGGTGACCCGCGTGCTCCGCAACGCGAAAAGGGATATTTTCGATCGGCGGGTGTTCGGTTGTTCTTGTGTCGGTTGGGTTATCTATCCATTTCGGTCGATTGCTTTTTGACGGCTAAACGTTTTGGTTTGTGGAAAAAATATCCACCGCATCGAGGTGCCCGTGTCTGATAAGCATGCTTTCCACTTCAGAATCTGTCAAATGTGCTTTGTAATTTAGGCGCGTAGTTTTATGACAAATTAAAGGCGTAGATAATTTTCGCTAGAAATCGTTTTGCAGAGGTTTGAAACATTTATATTTTTAAGAATACTGTTGCTTGTCATGCAAACGTGATGATTGGATCTTGAAGAGAATTGAATTCTCTTTCTAATGATAGCATTTTTAATTGTCAAACGCATCAGGTTAAACAGCAAATCCCGTATAATTATTTAGTGGCACATAATGGACAAATACCATTTTCTCCAGCGATTTGTTCCACCTTGTTTTTGATCAATTAGCTTTCCACAATTTTTCCATGAGAGGTGGTACATTTCCCTTGCCAATAGGCATTGTTTTAACTCTCTAAGTCTGCCGGTCACGTGAAAATAAAATAAAATCCTAAATCCGTCCGAAACGTCAATTTTTCAAACAAAAGTGCCCTCATGGGTGCACGTGGCGCGTGCCATTTTCCACATCGCACACCATTCGATAGCCCGTTCGATTCTCTACACGATGCTGTTTTCCCCGTGACGATCGGGCGCACGGTTACCGAGATATTGCACGGGAACCGGACCCGTGTCGGGCAAATTTAGCCATTTTCGCCCGTTTTTGCAAGCCGATTTATACATGTAAAGTCTATGACGCGAATTTGTACTTTTTGGGCCCGCGCCACGCGCTCGCTATCGACCCGATCGAGCCGAGACCCCCCAAAGGCACGTTGTCCATCCTTGAGCTATAAGTTGCGCAAATTTCAGCGCGGTAGGTGCAACGGTGTGACCTGTAACCCGCGCTACGTAGCACCATGTCGCGACCTCGGTTACAAACAGAAACTACGTCACCACAAATAGTTACGGGGTCAAGTCAGGTCAAGGTGGTCATCTTTGGTCACACTGGGTCAGGCCAGGTCACCTTCGGTCAGGCCAGGTCGTATAGGTCACCACGTCACATCGGATCGGCCTGGGCCACACTTCTACTACTTCTACCAATACCACTACTCCTACCACTACCCCTACTACTACCCCTACCCCTACCCCTACCACTACCCCTACTCCTACTTCTACCCCTACCATTACCCCTACCCCTACCTCTACCACTACCCCTACTACTACCCCTACCCCTACCATTACCCCTACCGCTACTCCTACCCCTACTACTACCCCTACCACTACCCCTACCACTACCCCTACTACTATTCCTACTACTACCCCTACTACTACCCCTACGACTACCACTACCCCTACCACTACCCCTACCCCTACCACTACCCCTACCACTACCACTACCCCTACGACTACCCCTACTACTACCCCTACCACTACCCCTACTACTACCCCTACCACTACCTCTATGACTACCCCTACCACTACCTCTATGACTACCCCTACCACTACCACTACCCCTACCGCTACTCCTACCACTACTACTACCACTACCATTACACCTACCACTACCACTGGGTCATGTGAGGTCACAGACTATCAGATAAACTGATAAACTAAAAAAGGGGTTTCTAACCATGCTCCTACTCGTGTTATTCCATTATTCTTAATCGTTTTTGGTGGAAATGGCGCCTTGTGACAAATGTGACGCATTGCGACAAAAGCGGTGCATTTGTACTTGTCGTTTTGTCATGCATCCTTCCACCGAATTGCACCTTTATCGGACCATATTTGACAAAGTTGTGCGATTTGCGGCAAAAATGGCACCTCGTGACAAATGTGGCGCACTACGGCAAACGCGGTGCATTTGTGTAAGCGCATTGAAAACTGTCTTTATTTACCGAAGATCAACACCTTCATTCGCCTCTGTTTATCAAAATAAACCAGTAAAACGCCTTTTGGGCGACCAACGGAGCGAGCGAGAGGATGGGCCTTGCACGTGCGAAATTGCGAGGGGGTACCTCCAACTAACTTGTGCACTGCACCCTTCTAATCGGTCTTTAGCGATGTGCCAAATTTCAGCGCAATCGGCCTAGCCGTTCTCGAGATCTGGAAGCGGCACACTGCACGTGCGCACGTGCAAGCGGGGTCCAAACTGACTTTTGCACGGCACCCTACTAACTGGTCCCCAACCGTGTACCAAATTTGAGCGCAATCGGCCAGGCCGTTCTCGAGATCTGGGAGCGCCCCCTGCACCTGCGCACGTGCTGTAGCACCCCAACCTTAACACATGCAGATGAATTATCTGATGGAGACCTAACTGTGTACCGAGTTTCAATTCAATCGGCCCAACCGTTGTGCCGTTATTGAGGTTGCAATTTTGGGGGTTCTTAAAAAATGTCCAACTTTACCACGCGCCACGTGCGGTAGTTGGCAAGAACGCATGGTGGCCATCACACCACAGAACTTTTACGTCCAAGTGACATTCAGTAAAGAAGACCGCTTGTCAATCGGATGTCCCGTTCCTAAGATATTAGCTTTTGAAGAGCGTCCCCACGGCCGGCCGGCCGGCCGGCCGCTCATACTCAGGATTTTCCCTTAATTCAGTATGAGACTCCGCTCGCTTCGCTCGCTCCGTAATAAGCTGCCAATCTGCAGATGAGAGGCACCCGCCGCCGATCGTCATGCATTTTAGTTGTAAAGTTCATCAAACCCGGCTGCCGATGCCTTGAAGACCGAGCAAATTTGGAGAAAATGCACCTTTTTCCAGCGCGTGCCACGTGCGAACCATCCACCCCTCGAGACTCGAAACACGCCACTGCACGTGCGCGTGACGTCATCAGCACGCTACGAAAATTTCAGCCCCATCGACCGCACCGTTTGACCTGCGCACGGCGTCAAAGCACACCTCTGCACGGTGCAAACAGACACACAGAGACAGAGTTTCATTTCACAAATAGTATAGTAGACAAGCGGCTGCGCCACTTGCTTCGCGGCGTAGCCATAAAATACGCAGCAGCCAGTTTGCTTTCGAATGGAGTTTGATTCATACCGATGAGCCGTCTGGAAGCAGATATATAAAGGAATATTCTGACGGCTTAGTTGGATAAAATTTGGGTCATCCGGGGTCAAGTCAGGTCAAGTCGGTCATCCCTGGTCACATTGGGCCAGGAAGGTCACCTTCCGTCAGGCCAGGTCGTATAGGTCACCACGTCACATTGGATCGGCCTGTACCACACTTCTACCCACACCACTACCACTACCCCTACCCCCTACCACTACCCCTACCCCTACCACTACCCCTACCACTACTCCTACCACTACCCCTACCACTACCCCCAACACTACCACTACCCCTACCCCTACCCCTACCACTAACCTACTACTACCCTACTACTACCCCTACCCCTACCACTACCACTACCCCTACTACTACCCCTAACACTACCCCTACCACTACCCCTAACACTACCCCTACCCCTAATACTACCACTACCCCTACCGCTACTCCTACCAATGCTACTACCACTACACCTACCACTACCACTGGGTCATGTGAGGTCACAGACTTTCAGATAAACTGATAAACTAAAAGTGTTCCTAGCCTTGCTCCTAATCTTGTCACTTATTATTCTTAATCATATTTGGTGGAAATGTCGCTTTGTGACAAATGTGGCGCATTGCGACAAAAGTGGTGCATTTGTACTTGTCGTTTTGTCATGCATCCTTCTACCGAATGACACCTTTATCGGACCATATTTGAAGTTTTGCGGTTAGCGACAAATATGGCGCCTTGTGACCAACGTGGCGCACTGCGGCAAACGCGTCGCATTTGTGTAAGCGCATTGAAAACTGTCTTTATTTACCGAAATGCAACACCTTCATTCGCCTCTGTTTATCAAAATAAATAAGCTGTCAATCCGCAAATGAGAGGCACCCGCCGCCGATCGTCATGCATTTTAGTTGCAAAGTCCATCAAACCCGGCTGCCGATGCCTTGAAGACCGAGCAAATTTGTGAAGAAATACGCACTTTTCCAGCGCGTGCCACGTGCGAACCATACACCCCCCGGGACTCGAACCTCGACACTGCACGTGCCCGTGACGTCATCAACACGCTGCAAAAATTTCAGCCCAATCGACCGCACCGTTTGACCTGTGCACGACGTCAAAGCACCCCTCTGCACGGTGCAAACAGACACACAGACAGACAGAGTTTCATTTCACAAATAGTATAGTAGATATGTAAGAAATATAACCGGCCTGCCTCTGCCAAACTCAGCACCGGTTTCAGGAACCGTTATCTCCCGGCCGACTGCAGTGATCGCTCCTCTAACTGCACCTCCCTCCGTCGTGTTCCAGACGCGCTCAAGGAGTTCGTCGTGGTGCTCCCCCACGAGAGTCTGCAGGTGCTCACTCCTCTGATGTTACACGCTCACTCTCCGGCGGCGCGCGAGGGGACCGACCCGGCGCCGCTGGGCCCCTTCTTCCCGCGTCCGGGCCAGGCGGCTCCGCCTGCGGGAGCGCCCAACCTGCGGCCGGCCCGGCCCCTGCTTCAGATGAGCGTGCCGCGACTACAGCTGCCGGCCAACAAGGTAATGGGAGGGGTGACATGGCGGGGCAGTGGGCATTCGGCGGGATGGCGAGGGTGGTGGGCTGAGAGATTTGCACGTCTTAGAATGTGGACTGATATGCATTTATTGTTGGTAGATACCGGCCGCTTACCCAGGCGACCTGAATTTTTTGATATATGCCCTCGCCCGTCATAATTCTACCATATGTCCGTGCCGCCAGTGCGAGCGTGACGAGTACGACCGTGCGCTGCTCGAGTACTTCCTGCCGTACCACGTGCTGGCCGACCTGATGTGCCGCGTGGCCATCAACCACGACCTTCTGACGGAGCCGCTGGTGACGCTGAGTGTGCTGCTGGGCATTGACGGCGTGCCCCTGCACCTGGCGCACTTTGCCAAACTGTGGATCGACGTCTACCAGACCAAGGTAGGGGAGAGGCGGGGAAGATGGGGGGAGGGAGATCGGTTTTGGGATGAGATGGAACTGTGCAATCTTGGCAGAGTGTGTTGGGGCTGCGAGAATAGCTGTATTGTAATTGTAGCTCATGTTGCAGTATTGGAATTATAAGGTCCAAGCATTGGCTGAAACGTAATATTTAAGCATGGTATTTTATCGAGACTGGATCCTAACAGAAGAATGCACAAAGTAGTTGAATATATCAGCGTGTGAAACTTCCTAAGCTATGCATTTCCCAAATGACAGATATTCTGCAAAGCCGATGGTATTCTGTTCAACATCCCGCCTGGTATCCCTGCACAACCTAGCACTCCATGCGTTCAGCAATCCTTCCCGAGTCATTAACTGGCCCTCATTTCGCCAGGCGATGGAGAAGCACATCGAGCGTCTGCTGAGCTGCACTCAGCTGGCCGAGTACCTGCAGCAGGTGCTGCTCACCGCGCGGCCATCGCTCACCAACAGCGTCATCTACAAGTTCTGCTCCCTATTCCTGCCAAAGGTCAGTGTGACGTGCCGCTCATAGGGGTTCAATTTGTGTAGTGGCAGGGGGATATGGTACTTTATCAGTGCAGTGTATATTAGGGTCACTGTTTTCCTGGTAACAAAAAAAAGACGATCAATCAGCATGGAAGTTGGGACGAATGTCGCTATTCATTTTCGAGATCACTATCAGATACCCGATTAGTACGAAGTAACTGGACGGGTAGACGGGCCTCTGACCGGTTCTGTGTGCTCCTGTCGCGCAGGTGAGCTGGGAGCGGTGGTCGCCGGCCGCGCAGCTCTCGGTGCTCGCCGACCAGGTGACGGCCGACCTGGTACAGCTCGGGGACGCCGCGGCCGGCGCGCAGGCGCAGCTGGCCACCCGGCTGACGGGCCAGCTGCGCGCGCTGTCACTGCTCTACCACGCGGCGCCGCCGCCCCCGCCGCCGCCGCCGCCGCTGCTACTGGCCGCCCTGCAGCAGACGGCCAGCAAACTGGACCTGCCCGTGACGCCGGCGCCCGTGCCGCCGCCGGCGCAGGAGCCGGGCCCGGCGCCGGCGGCCGCTGCCTCCCTCTCCACCACCGCCGAGCGGACAGGTGAGTCCCCCTCCCTCCCAACTGAGCGTCTCTGGGAGCCCTCCAATTCACGGTGCGTCTCTGTCCACCGACTGTGCGTCCCTGTCCACCACGGCCGAGCGGACAGGTGAGGCCTCTACCCCCCAACTGTGTGCTCTGTGAGCCCTCCGTCCCTGTCCACCGACTGTGCATCCCTGTCCACCACGGCCGAGCGGACAGGTGAGCCCGCGGGCCGAGGTTCACGGGGGGAGGAGGTAATCGATCAGGTATGGGGGCTGCTGGTCGCTGCATAATGTTGTATTGTAGGTGTTAAATTGTGCTCGGCGTGACGCTAGCTGTTGCGACTGTTTGTGTGTAGAATTTAAATGGCATGCACGATTGGACTACATATGCTAAAAATGATTTTCAGTTCTGTTTTCTACGTCATATGTACGCTCCCTACATGGGACAAACTGTATTTTTGTTTGTAGAGCGCTGCACGGCTCCCACCGTGTCGCTCCGGTCCGTGCCCCCCCCCCCCTTCTGACAGTCTGTGCCGCCCCCTGACAGTCTGCACCGCCCCTGACGGTCCGTGCTGCTCTGTGGTGGTCTGTGCCGCCTTTTGACAATCGGTTCCGTTCGTCTTTCTGTGCCACAGACAGCGCCAGCGGCGCAGAGTCGTCGGGTGCCAGCGGCTGCGGAGCCAGCGGCGAGCCCTCGGACGACTCTGGCGACGCGGCCGGCTGGCGGCCCGTGCTGGCCCGCTCGGTCCAGATGCTCAGAGACCAACTCACTACCAGCAAGGCTTGTGATCGCAGGGCGTAGGTGCCCTGCCGCGCGGGCCCGGCCGGCCGCGGCGCGCCCGCCCAGTAGCCGCCGCGCGCCGCCCGGCCGGCCGGCCGCCACTGTATTTATCTATTTTCTTACGTCGCTTTGGAAAGACATTTATGTGATCCGGTTTTTTTAGACTGTCCCGCGATTCATCCTTATTTACGGATTGATGTGTTTGTTTTTTACTTTGAACTTAGTTTGGTCTTGAATATACGGTTGTTGGCCGTCGTGCGCTGCTGCGATTCGCTGTTTTGCTTGTGACGGTTGAATATCAGATGCAAGGCCCTATATACCATCAGATGGTTCTCAGGTTGCATTGGACATACGTGCTGCGGCAAAAGATGCGTGACAGCGTGACAGCTTCTAGGCGAATGGCTAGCGCCTAGCGACCGGCGAAATCCTTATCATTCCGAAGTTCGATCCACCGAGCGCTCCTCTCTGATGCCTGAAACAGAGATGCAGAGAGATGAAACAGAGACTGAGTGGACAAAGACGAAGCTATGCTAGTCTACGTACGAATGCTGGCAGATTTTTCTGGTGAATGGTCTGTTGCTGGCCGCTGGGTCAGGAAAAGGAGAAAATTATCGTGAAGTTTGGATGGAAAAAGCTTAATTTTCCGACTTGAACTGTTAGACAGGAGGGAGATAGTGCGGCGGTGGTCGAATCGGCCTTGGTATTGGTGTAGATCGCTTGGCCCTGAGCTCACTTCCCAAGGTGTTGTGTGCATCGGAAGAAAAGTGCCTTGCGCAAGCTTGCAGCTGTTTAATTGATGACTAGCCTCGATTTATCACAACCTTGAATGACAAGCCAAAAGCAGCAAAGATCTATTCATTTAATTTCGTCGCCTCTGCTCATAAAGATAAAAGGAAAGTTATATGACGTCAAACTTTCTCGATCGACAAATGAGCAACTCCAAAAAATGGTTCATGACGTCATTAATTCAAAGAATCGGCACTTTTCTTATTCTGATTGGCCAAGCGTCCGATCAGCAGAAGTTTGTGAACAGCCGAAGAACATATCGGAAATGAAAAGGCGAAACTGGCGCGAGGGATAGGTGGGTTTTGGGCATTTTATATTGAAAAATGAGATAGTAATGTGGGGGTTGGGATGAGATTCTAGCTGATTCTAGCCTAAAAATCCAGTTATTTGGGTTCAGTCGCATGAAAAATCGCTGGGCCTAGTAGTGTCTTCCTGGCTGCTTGAAACAGGGTGAGTGTTTATTGCTTTAACTTTTGCTTGACCCCACAATATGTTGTGAAATAAGTGCACTTTTGGCAATATCTGGGCCCTGTTTCATGGCACTTCTATGGCATACTGCTTAGCGCTTATAGTGGTGTATTGGGTTTCCATAGAATTTTAAGGAAACTCATGCTCACAATGCTGCCGATGCTTGACCATCAAACCTAATTTGTTTCAAACTCCCCACCAATACAGCAGCGCAGCACAGCGCATTGCAGTGTTGGGCCATGAAACAAGGCCCTGAACTGGAAGTGACTGAAGATGATGATAGTGTTTTGATAGAAAATTCCAACTTGAATAGAGTTAAATGCTTGATTCTGCTTATGAATGCATTCATCAATCTAGATCCTTAAGTGAAGTAAGAGAAGGGCTGCACACAGGCACAAAGACTGCAGTATGCATAAGCCATAAATGATTGGCCAGCAGGCCAGTAGGAGAGCTAAGTGAGAAATGAATCTGGCAATGTTGAGTGCCAATGAGTCTGTCCTGAGGGCTGTTCACAGGCCCTGTGTGTGATCGTACCGCACACAGCCTCCAAGCTCCGCCCACTGCGTCCCTACATCAGCCTTCTGTCACCGCACACAGTTATCGCTGTGGCTGGTCAGTGGTCGGGACTGGCCACAGCGGACCATCCACCGCACGCAGCCGTGACGTTAGAACCGCCTGCCCATCTCCTACCCCCACACCTGCTGCACACACCGCACGCAGCAGTGTGCGATGCCCGTGAACACCCCTCTGTAATATGACGTCAAACTTTCTCGATCGACAAATGAGCAACTCCAAAAAATGGTTTATGACGTCATTAATTCAAAGAATCGGCACTTTTCTTATTCTGATTGGCCAAGCGTCCAAGAACTGACAAGAACTGCTTTTGTTCAAGAGACCAAGAACTTGTGTGTGTTGTGACGACTTCACCGCTACTTGATCGCCTTAAGCCCGAGTACCACCATCCCTTGCCGCCGGTCACAGCCTATCTCCGATTATATATGTTGTTGTATGTTGTTGCCGACTAAACAGCCTATCTCCGATATCAGAGCAGCTTGCTTTGCACAAAAGATGGCATGTGAAGTGTAAACTGTACAACAAGCTACATACATGTAGTTGGATATATAAATGTGCATAATTGGAATTTCTTGTTTCAATAAGTTGATGGATAAACATATGAATTAGGAGTAGGACTTTTAGTGGCCACTGGCATTTCTTGCATATTTTATGGCAAGTGATGATTTCAGGGGGTGCTGTATCATTGTCATATATTGATATGAGCACAAGACAGGTTGTTTAAATGCTGGGCCTGAAACATAGCTTTATTTCCTCGATTGACTTGTATTGGTGAAGACACTTCACTGAAACATCAGACCTCATTTGGCCTGTATGAAAATCTGCATTCATTACCAGCCTACCCCTTAGCTCAGTTTGTGGAGTATTGGACTCCTGGGGGTGAGAGCCCTGGTTTGAGGTGCTCCAGCTCTCAATATTTGAGACTCCTGACAGCGGCTGGTGGGAGCAGCCGCAGTCAGTTGAAATCAGTTGAATGGGACAGCCCATGTCTGTGATGGACAGGTTAAACTTGTGTCTAAATTCTCCTGTTACCCGGAATTGTGCGATCACATGGTAGGGATCAGAGTCTACGCAAGAAGCTCGGCTTAGCGTAGGATCCGGCTCTGTGAATCTGTTCATTCAAACATCCGAGCTTAGTTTATATAGAAAGTTAACAAGTTGTGTTGTGACGACTTGGGAGGTAGCTTCTTCCTGTAAGTTTTATCTCCCTGCAAAAGCTGGTTAGTCATTTCCTCAAATTGCCATTAAATGCTCAAGGTCTATAGCATATAAACAATACACGGTGGTATGGTTGATACTTGATACGCTGTTGCTCTTGTCTCTGTCGATCGTGTATCCGAGCGAGATCACTGAACTGTAGTTGGGTTTATCAGTGGCACTCAGCTGCTCAGTCGCGGGCCGCGGTACTTCACTGCTACTGAAGCGAGTGCCACCAAACTAGCTGCCCTTCAAAGCCTATCTCCGATATCAGAGCAGCTTGCTACCCTCGATCCGAGACCTTTTGACCGGTGAGAGCATCACGTTGTCTTGCTTTATCTCATATCGGGCTTTGAGTGCACTGGGTGACCAGAACTATATTCAGCGCGCTGGTGCAGCAATTTTTAACGTAAGCAGTCATGTTCCTTGTTGTTTCTGGATGTTTTGCGTGTATTACGTCACCGGCCCATGTGTCTCCGCAGGGTGCGTCCTCCGCCTCTGAAGAGCCGGTGGTGAGGATGTTCCCTCCCATGGTGTCGGCGTCGCCGCCCCCCTCTGACGATGAACTGTCGGGCGATGACGGCGATGAGCTGGGCGTCGCTGACTCCTCGTTCGATATCACAGGTACGCTCCTCGGGATTGAGCGTGTTTGATTATAGGAGTGACCACATTGGCTTACATTGATAACGCTTTTGTAACGCTAGCCAACGCTAGCCACTTACGGCCATAGTTTTGCCCAAGCTGATAAAATCCAATCAACTTACTGAACATCCAAACTGCATAATTTGTTCGTTTATCAATGTTGTTTAGCTGTTGCCTCCATTTCTATAAATTTGTTCGTGTCGAAAACCTGTTTTGTTCCCCCAGGTTTATCTCAGAAATTGCCGGTGTGTCAGCCGCCGAACCACAAGCCGCCGGCGCCGGTCTCCAGCCGTACCTACTCCCCGGACCCGGCACGGTCGAGTCCGCCGCCGCCGGCCGTGCACCGTCTGCCCTCGGACGACTGGGGAGAGTTCAGCGGCGCCCCGGCGGGCGCAGACCCCGCCGCGCCGGTCCCGGCACCTCCCGCGGCGCCCCAGCAGTTCTCCGGGTCAGAGAGAGACGTGAACGGTACTGAAGTCTCGCTGTCTGAGGTCCGCGCGGCGACAGTGTCGGTGGATGCGTCACGAGCGACCGGTGTGAGACAAGAGCGCAGTATTTTCTCGGACAGTGAGAGTGACAGTGAGGAGGCTAACGGACCTCAGCGGGGAGGAGAGGCGAGCCCTGCTCCACCGGTGGCGGCTAGTGAGCGTGTGCAGCCCGGTCAGAGTAAGGCAGTTATCGAGGATAACGAATCTGCGAGCGAGGCGAAATTGCACCGGGAAGGAGACAGGACGGCATCCCAGACGGTGACGTTTCAGAATGGAACTGACGAGCTTTCCAAAGTGGCAGCGGGCGGCGACTCCGATAGTGACGATTTCGGTGATTTCGGTGGTTTCAGTGCAGCGACCGCGAGTGAACCAGTGACCGCGGTGAATACAGTGACAGTGGTGAATCCAGTGACCGATCAGTCACTGGCACTGGACAGTTCCGTGCCCGGTCACGGAAGTGACAGTCAGTGTGCCGCGGACACTCCCCCATCTCTAAAATCAAACTCCAGTAACGGCCGAGAGGAAACCTTCAGTACGGACATCGACTCGCGCGTCTCTAATGTTAAACCTCTCGCGGCAGATGTCGGTAGCTCTGCCGTCTCAAATGGACCAGGTAATGCTATCAATGATAGTACGGCAATGGAAGGCAGCTCAGACCGTATCCCCTCTCCGGATGATGGCGTGAAGTCCGCAGAAGCAGTCGGCTCCTCTGAAGTCGCGGAGGACCCACACGATGCCAGCCTGGTCCCCGAGACCGCGCCCTCGAGTGATTCGGGGAGCGCACCGTCTTCCCTCGGCAGCTCGCCCAAACGTGCCAAATCGCCGGATAATGCCGAAACGCGCACAAAACCAGAGAAAGCAACCGACGAGAGTGTGCCCGGGGATGACTTTGGCGATTTTGCAGCTCCCGCTGATGATTTTGGCGATTTTACTGCGCCGGCTGGTGACTCATCAGCCCCTTCTGATGAGTTCGGTGATTTTACCGCTAAAACTTGTGATGTTTCTGCGCCCGCTGAGAATTTAGGCGACTTTACCGCCCCATCTGATGTCCCCGCGCCGGATGACGATTTTAGCGATTTTACTGCGCCAACTGAGGACCGATCCGCCCCTACGGA